ACAGGACCAGGAAGACAAGGCCTTCTCTCCCAGCCTCTGGGCGGCTTTGGGTGCTGGGGCTACAGGCAAGGACACACGTACCCCACTAGGATGCCTGAAGACAGCTTCCCCTCTTCTAAGCCTCAGTTCTGTCCACTGTGAAATGGGTGCCACAGTGACATCAGGGGCAACAAACCCTTGCGCCAAGGGCTAGGCTGAGTGGCAGCGGCCAGTGTGTTCCTATACAGCCCTCCTTATGGACATTGAAATTCCAACTCCGGCTGATGTTTTAGTTAGGCTGAGCAAGGCAGGGTGCTGGCCTGAGGTATAGTGAGAGTGAGTCCATGATGGCTGTTATTGCGGGTACTGCCAGAGGCCTGACATTCCCATTCCGGAAGCACCTGGTCCTCGCCTCAGCCCATCATGCTAAGGACCCTATGCTGTACGTCATACACATGCGCACAGCAAGAAGTTTCTGCCTCATCTCACCTCCTTCCATCTCTGGGGTCCAAGATTATAGAAGCCCAGTGCTGGGCCTGGCATGATAACCTAGTGGCTAAATCCTCACTTTACATCCATTGGGATCCAATATGGATGCCAGTTTGTGTCCTGGCTGCTCCACTTCCCTTCCAACTCCCTGCTTGTGACCTGGGAAAGTAGTAGAGGATGGCCCAAAGCCTTGGGATCCTGCACTTGTATGGGAGACCCAGAAGAAGCTCCTGGCTTGGGACTGGGCCAGCTCCAGCCACTGCAGCCATTTGTGGAGTGAACCATTGGATAGAAGATCTTTGTCTCCCCTTCTCTCTGTAAATCTGCCTTTCCAATTAAAATAACTAAATCTAAATAAATAAATAAACAAACCCAGTATTGTATACCCTAGGTCATTTCCCTTATGCGGTCACCTGCCACGTGGAAGTGGTCCTGGGCCATCTCCCATCAGGGCGTGGTCTGTCAGACTCTCTCCCCTAACTAACAGAACCTGCACTAAAATCCTCTTTTTCTCAAGGGCCTCCAAATCTTCTCCTGGGCGGTTTTCCTTTAATTTTTTCTTTACTGTGGGTCCAACAAAAGCAGGTACCATGGAGCCCTGAGCAAGGTGAAGGGCTTCAAGTCCAGGAAGAGAGAGGAAGAGGCAGGCAGGCAGGCAGGCAGGAGGGAGACAGAGCTCAGAGCTGGGTGCAAACCTGTTCTCATGGGCCAGAGTGCCTGGGCTGTGCTTGCTGGGGTGGAGCCAGGACAGTGCCCAGGGCTGCTTAAATGTTCAGCTCGTGAACGGAGCAACAGGGGCTCTAGGTCTCCAGGGAGCAGCACAGTCCCACCCCAACCCCAGGACCTCAGAACGCGGTCGTCTTCAGAGATTTCAGAGTGAATGGGCAATTGGCACACTGGTCAAGAGGCAGCTTTGGACATCAGCATCCCACATGGGAGCATTTGGGATCCAGGCCTCATCCTGCTTCCAGGCGCTGCTCCTGTGTGCCCTGGGAGACAACAGTACTCAGATCCCTGCCACCTTGACCTGGGAGACCTGGAGGAAGCTGCTGGCTCCTGGCTCAGCCCTGGCTCTCGGGGCGTTTGGGGGCGCGCACCAGCAGATGGATCTTTCTGTGGCTCTCGTAGATTAGGTATCTCTGCCTTTTCCCCCCTACTGGCTCATTCCAAATGGCTGCGATGGTCAGAGCTGGACCTATCCGAAGTCAAGAGTTTCCTCCACATCTCCATGTGGGTGCAAGGTCCCAAGGACCTCGACCAACCTCTGCTCCCCCTCCCAGGCCATAAGCAGAAAGAGGGATGAGAAGTGGAGCAGCCGAGACACGAACCGGTACTGCAGCAGGAGGCTTAGTCTGTTACACCACAGTGCTGGCCCCTTGTGCCTTTTAAACATATGCATGAAGAGGTAGTTAAGACTAGGGCTGTTGTGAAGATGAGGACCCAGGCATACAAAGGGGCATCCCTGGGAAGACAGTGGAGAGCAGCCACAGTGGAAACCATACCTGCCACAAGGGACCTTGTCCTCCAGAATAGGAGAAATTTTTGTGCTCAGGTCCCCAGTGCGTGGGGCAGTCAGGATGGCAAGGACTTCGACCACCACCCCCAAGGGCAAGTGCTCCACGTTCACGGGGCCCCATCCTGGCCAACACACACACACACAGCTTCAGTAGGAGATGAGGGAAGTTGGGATGCACCACCCAGAGGTGCCACTCTCTGTGGGGCAGAAAGGTGACCCCAGCACCTGTGGGTGCTGTGCCCCTCCCCCACCCCACACAGATGTGTCCACCACCCACCCCTCCTCAGCTGTGAGCTCTGGTGGGCGTAGAGGGGCTCAAATGGAAACACCTGCTCCCTCAGACAAGGAGCAGGGGCAGAGCCTGGGCAGGCACGGCATGTCTAGGGCTATCCCAGGCCTCTGTCCTTGGCTCCTCTCTGCTTCCCCATGTGGGTTCTGCCTTGGGTCTGCTGGTCTCTGAGATCAGGGTAGCATCACAGGGACTCGGGCCCATTCCAGAGCCATCACATCACTTGCTAAACTCTACGAAGATCCCGGCTCCAAACAAGGCCCACTGTTGAGATGCCAGTTCAGCCCGAACCCTCTGCACGGCGCACGGGTGGGGGTACAGTGAGAGTGAGGATGCCTGGGGAGGGGAGTGATGAAGGGTGGGTCTGAAGCACCAGTCCCACAGTGCAGGGTCAGAGCCAAGGTTATCCTCCTGTAAAACTGGACCTACAGAGAATCCTTCTGAGAAAGCCCAGGAGCTGGAACCCAACCCACATCTCCCTAAATGACAGGGTTGAGCAGCTGTGCCGTCACTGGTGCCTGGCAGGGTGTACATCCCGGGGGGACCAGAAGCCAGGCTCCCCAGGGGGTTGCAGGTGTCCTAGGCAGCATGGACCTCTACCCTCAACATCCATCCCCATGGTCACTACGCAGGCGTGGCTGACAAAGGCACTGCTACTAACCTCGCCTCGTCCCATCCTTACCATGCTGCCCAGGGTCCATGGATCCAGCACACCCAGTAAGACTACCCCCAAAGACTTGAGCAGAGTGGATGTCAGCTATCGCCTTGTGATGCCTGCTAGGGGTCGGCGGGGAGTGCCAGGCAAGGCCTGGTGCCTGCTTCACTAGGAGTTTCCTTGGCACCAGCTCCCAGCCTCCTGAATCATCTTGCCCCTTGTCTCTGTCGCCCAATGGCTGCTCTCCATGTCACTGCCTCTGAGAACGATGTGGTCGCTAAGCGAGCCGGCATGGATGTGCTGGACGGACGGGGGCTGGCGGGAGGCTCCATCACACAATGCAGCTATCAGAATGTGGGAGCTATTTCTTTCTGGAACCTTCCATTCACTGTTTTCAGAATACGGTAGACTTATCACTCACTACAAACGCCAGCATTAGGTGTTGGTGTGTAGGGAGCGCTCTGTGACCTGCCGTGGACTCCCAGGGGAAGAGGTGTTTACCCCCCGCCGAGGGACCAGGCCGCACAGCCCAGCAGTGCTCCTGAGTGCCTGGAATGAACCCCCGTCCCGTGTTGCTTTACTCAACAGGAAACACCTGGCGGAGAGGGGTCTGCCTGAAATTGGATGGAGAATGAGGCTGAGGGGCTGCACCTGGAGCCAGAGTGGACTCCAGGGGCACCCGACATGTCGCTGCAGGCCTGGGTCCAAGAGGGCACAGAAAGTAAGACCCCCTCACACCCGTTCAACAGCGAAACCGGCCGCCACTCTGCGTGGGAAAATTAAACCAAGGACACCCAAGTGGCAATTTATTTATTTTTTTTATTGAAATTGTTGATACATTATATTACAGTAAAGTTGATTGAGAAAAAAAATGAAGAGAAGAAAATCGATTTCTTAAAAAATACACTCATGTTTAAATCAGGTAAGCCAGCCTTTACTAACTGGGTACAAACCGATGTGTAAACGGTGGGTTGCTTTTTAGTATATGATCCCACCGAGTCTACACACACTCTAAATGCAAGAAAAGTCGTTAAACACTTCCAGAAGAAAAAATAAAAGAGAAAAATTAAAAAAAGAGAGTCAGGGCCGGGGGGAGCCTGGTGCCATGCGGCTGCTGCTCCCTCCGCGCAGCCCCCGACCCGCCAGGGCCCCGAGCCGGGACTCCGGCCTGGCACTTGCCATGCAATCTTCCCTAAATCACACACTGTGCAAATTAAGGCTTCTTGTAGTCGACGGTGGATACACATCTTAAAAAAAAAAAGTAATAATAAGCACAGTAAAAATGATATCATGAGACCCAGAGGACACGATACCTCCACCCCAAGCCGGGGAAAACGTCGTCTCCTCTGACGCCTCCACTTACACGCACCAGAAACCAAAATCCAAAAATCCTTAACCAAAAATCTTTAACCAAAAAGTCAAACCGAGGTAAAGCACATCATAACTCTTTGGGTGGCTTGTCAGGCTTCTACAGCCAGGAGCGGAATACTGACAGGTGCACCTCTGCACGGACATGGCAGGTGACAAGGTGGCACGCTCGAGTAGGTGGGAACCCTGCGCGTGCCTTGGGGGGGTTGGGGAAACAGCCAAAAAAGAGACAAAGACAAGATGGAGGGCTCTAACTCAGGAGGGGGTGCGAGCTGCAAGCAGCTCAGAATCCCAGCTGAAGCTGCCTGGCCCAAGAGGCTCCCCGGGCAGCCAGCACGGGACACCCCTGCAGACAGAAAGGAAGATACACGCTGATTTTTTTTTTCCTTTTTTTATCTGCAAACCTGAGTAACTGTTGGTCAATAAATAGGAGGAGAGGTTTTAAACGCTGAAATGTAAGATGAGGCAGCCTGGGCAAGGGCCTGAAAGCAGCGAGGGGGCCCGGTGACGACCCTCTCTCCTGTCTGAGGTGTAGCCAGGCAACGCCCCGGGCACGAGCTGCCGCCCTTCGCCGGTCGGTGGAGCAGATGCTGCCGTGCGCCCCCTAGTGGCTGTAAACAATCGTGAAGGAGCCGCGCCCCACCGCCCTCTCCCTCTCCCCCTGGTCCCCCACCCTCCCACCCCCGTCACAAAAACGCTTCCCGTTTGAAGCAGTTTTTGTTAAAGGCAGAGATTACAGAAGCGTCACCGAGTAGAAGTCCGTTTTTGGTTGGAGGCGCTCGGCTGTGGCCTGCCCCGCGCCCTCCGGCAGGCACGGTGGTCTCAGATGCGCAGGAGGTCCTCGTCGCTGTCGTCGTGGAAGGCTGCCGAATGGGGAGGGCCAGGCCGAGGCCTGCCCCGCCTTGCCCTGTCACCATGCACCAGCCCCAACCTGTCGTCCACCCTTCCCCGGGGAGCCCTGCACTGGGGGTGTCGGCCAGGCTGCGCAGCGCCATCAGGCCCAGGCCCTCGGACAGGTTGCACTTTCACGTCAGGGATGGTCAGCACCTCATCTTCGCTGTCCTGGTCATCGCCGCGCAGGACAGTGAGGGCCTCGGCCTGCACGGGCTTGGTGGTGACATGGCCGTTCTCGTGGTTGTCCTTCCCCGGCCGTGGGGCCCCAGGCTGGATTTCCTCCATCAGCCACTCGCTTTCGTGTTCCTCCGTCTCCTCTTCCTTGTTCACCTGCCGCGGGGCCAATAGGAGGGAGACGCACGCCCGTCAGTGACTGCGGCTCCCCATGCCAACACTCTCCATCCCCACCCCCTGCCCAACCTCTGCCAGCGGGGCGGGCTGGGTTCTCGGCCCGAGGGAGGAAGGCACACAGCTGGGCAGGGGCTTAGAGGAGCTGTACAAAAGTGGGGCCTCCCAGCCATGGGCACAGGGCCGTGCTGGCTGATTCTCCATCGCACAGGTGGGGGCAGAGACGCAGCAGCCACAGGCAGGACCTGGGCATCTGATAACACGCGTCAAGAGCCCACACCGTGTGGACACCCCTTGACCTGAGGGAGCCCTCTTTTCTGGAGACCGATCGGGAAATCGCCCAATGCTAGCACAAGCAGCAGCCCCCAAAACCATCAGTGGGTACAAACTAGATCTGAGGAAGCAAACTGCCATCACCGTGAGGGGAAACTGACGGACAAACCACACAGTGTGAGCCCCGGCTCTAACCCGACAGCCCCGTGGGAACCCAGCACTAAGCTACCTTGGAGTACTTGTAGGAGACATTGGAGCTTCTTCGGCAGCAGCTGGTCAGCTTGGTCATCACCATTTCCCTGTAGAGGAGACAGAGGTCAGGTGGGGTGGGCAGGGCAGAACCGCTGTCCCCCCCACACACACCCCTCCCAGGCATGACCACAAATGGGTCCTTGGCAAGTTCTGAACTTGAACCTGAACTCTCAGGCAGCCAGCGACGGCCCACCCTCCTCACCTCCTCTCCTTCTTGTGGAGCAGCAGGCCCAGCAGGCAGGCAATGAGCGCCACCAGGAGCAGGCTGAGCACCGAGCCAATGGCCTGGCTCCGCTCCGACAGCCCCGGGTAGTCCGTGTCGTCTTCATCAGCACTCCCGCTTTCAAAGTCCCCTCTGGAAGGGCATGTGAGAAGAGAAGCCGTGTCACTGGGCAGCGTTGCCACCCCCTCTCTGGCAGGGACCCTGCCTCCCACCGCCCGATCCTCTGAGGCTGGCATTAGGGCCAGCGTAGGGGCCAGCACAAACCTAGCCTTCCGCTGCAGGGGCACAGGTTGGAGGCCCAGACCAGAGGAGCTCTGGGGACACCCAGGTATAGGGTCTCCTCCAGACAGATATTTCTGGGTCCACTCACACTGCCCACCAGGGCTGAGCCCAGGACAGTGCCACCTGGACACAGACACCACAGAGCTGGCACGACCTGGGGTGGGTGTTGGCCTCACACCCCAGGCTGCCAGGCCAGCAAAGGAGGTGCAGTCCCCAAAGGTGTTGACATGCAAGCCAGCAGGGTAAGGAGCATGCTTTGCGACTGAACGCTTCAGCAAAGAGGTGAAAGGATGAAGCCACGAGCTGTGCTTGGCCAAGAGCTGACCCTTCTTAGGTGACCTTGGAAAGGAAGAGGCTACCTACATGAGCACCACGGGACGTCAGACCCTGGGCACGCCACTGCTCACTTAGCAAAGTATGCCATCAGGGCTAGCATGGCTTCAAAAGCATTCAAGGAACTGGGTCAGAGGGCAACCAGCCACCAGCCTGCCTGCGGATGGGGAACTGCTGAGCTAGCCCAACCATCCTGATCTAAAGCATCAGAAGGACAACAGGCCGGTGGGGCAGCTAGCTGCTCTGTCCCAGTGTGGCAGGGGATGGCGGCCTCGGCCCGGGCAAGGCCAGTGGGCACCCAAGAAGCCCACAGCCCACACACCCCACCCATAATAGCAGTCCTGCAGATGGTGCCCAGGGCAGTCCTCAGGAGGCAGGAGTCCTTGCAGTCACCATCCAGGTGGGTCCGTTTAGAGACCTGCCTGCCTATGGTTAACTTTTGTATGGTTCTATGGAGGTTCCCAGGTGACACACTTGCAAGTGATGCTGCCCACCTGTTTGGGTATGCTGGCTTCATCCTCAGCCTGCTCCAATCCTGCCAGAGCCCCGCTTTCTGCTGACCCAGAAGGCCGGGACCCCTCGTGGCATCTCCCCACGTGCACTTCTGCCTAGCACCGCTCCTGGGCCAACAGGTGCAGACTGCTGTGTTCTGCCACCCTGACCGTGCTGACCTGCAATGGGCACTCACGGCTAACTCTGCCTCCATACTATCTGACCTGACCTAATGCGCACGCTGACGCCCCCTGCTGGCCCCGGTATTTTCTTGTCTGTTGCCTTTCCATCTCTTCTGTGTTCTTGTGTTAGGCCTATCTCATTATATAGGCACAAGCCAACAGCAGCCACAGCTTTAACCATGGCACAAAACCACCATTTAGAAGGCTGAAGCAGGGTGTGAGAGGGCTGGAGGTCCTTCTAGCACTGCCAAGGTTAGAAGATGAAGTATGTAGCACTTGGTAAAAACAGAAACAGCTGAAAGAACTAAAACATGGACATCTTGAGAACTGCAATTGCCAGAAGTGAGAAAATGCCTGCAGGTAGCAAGCCCTGCTCCCTGCCAGCCGATGGCAGCCACACCTGTGCCAGTCACAGCAGCCAGGACCAACACGCCCGGGGTGGCGGGCAGCGGTGACTCTAGTGTAGACCAAAGACAGCAGTGGGGTGCCAACAGGTGCTAGGGCCGGCTGTGGCTTACCCCAATGGGCACACAGCCGAGGTGTACCAGGAGAAGAGGTACTGGCAGTCGGCGGTCTCATGACTGAACTCAGGGATGCCATCCTGCACCAGGGGGTCACAGTGGAAGAAGATGGTGGAGGACACGGTCTTGCTCTTGTCCTTTCCACACTTGGAAGAAGAGGTGAACACGATGTCCAGGTCGCCATCTGTGAAGAAGAAAGGAGGACCACGGGCACCGTTCCCGACAGCCATTCCAAGGAGGCCCACGTTACCCTCCTGCAGGCAATCGCACGGGCCAGGCCACTTGCTCCTGCACCCTGGGAGCGCCCTGCCCATGCGGCTCGGAAGGCCTCGACACACACTTATGGTGCCAGCATAAAATGAATTCAACCTTGCAGGGACCAAAGCCAGAGCTCCCTTCATCCCAAGCTCACCGTGTGACTCGGGGCGGGGCTGGCCACGTGGTATCGGCCCACCCAGAAACTGAAGTCGCTACCTGGGCAGGGAACGTGACTCCCAGAGGCCAGTACCGTTGTCAACACTGGGATGCTATGCGGGGAGGCTGGGGGAGTGTCTGTGCTCCTGCAGCTGACCTGAGCCCTTACCCAGCCCTCATGCACTGACAAACGCAAATGCATCCACATCATGGAGCCTCACAGGGACTCTGCTACTCCCTAACCTGCGGCTGGCCACTGCCTGGGTATCAGGCAGTTGGGGAACAAAAGTCTCATGGGTAAGACTGACAGGTACCCAGAGGGCAGCGGGAGGCATGGAAGGCACAGGCTGAGCAGGGGTCGCCATCCTGCTGAAGCCTGGCAGAGGCCAGCCAGAGCCATACCCCGGGCACAGCGGGAACTGTGTGAGTCTGAGTTCGCCCTCTTGAATGAATGAATGAAATGAATGAATGACAATTCTCATTAAGAGGTTAAAACTGTGTTTCTCCGTGACACAGAGAAGTCTAAAAGTAAAGCTGCTTCCTGATGCTACTGAATGAAAATAATAGTCTGGAGCCAAGGCTGAATGCACACACACATCTACATGTGCACACAGGCACAAACACACATGTGCATGCCAACTCCAAACTACGGATTCTAGAAGGCTCACCAGGCACACGCCTGTTAGCAGCAGTGGAGGCTGCACAGCCTGAAAACACAGCATGTTGGAGAGGAGCAGCCACTGGGGACAGGAGAATGGCACGCTGGGGTGGGTTGACACGCTGTGCACACACACTAGCAGGTGTAAGGACCCAGGCCACGGGACAGCTTCGGGCTGTCTGACTGAATCCAGGAGTGTTCAGACATCCCTCCTCTACTTCACAAAACCAGCGCTAACCGGGCACTTCTCGTGGCCGGACACAGAGTGGGCAGGACAGGCAGCATGTTGGATGTGCGGGGTTTGCCGCTCAGGGACAGGAGGGTTTGCAGAAATGTAGGCCCAAGGACAGGGAAAACACGAGGTGGAATTTACCAACTGCCCGAAGAGGACAAACTCCCCTATCACGTACCCCAACTGTATTCAGGGGCTCGGTTCCTGGGAGGGCCCAGGCCTGCCACGGCTCACACAGCCTTCACTAAGTCACTCCCCTGGGGCTGGGCTTTCCAGCCTGGTCCCTTCGTCCTTGGGACACGCTGGAGATTTCTCACCCTACTTTGTAGTTCAAGTTTCCAGATAAGGATGCATCCTGCCTTACGAGCCAATCAGAGGCAGCTCTGACCGGGCAGGCCTGTGCACCACAGCCACCGTGGGACCTCCACAGCACCAGGCTGTGTTACCCAGGACGGAGTGCACCCCCCAGAGAGATGTGTGGGTCTCCCACATTATATCTGCATGTTTGTATCACACAACACTGAGCTCTCGGCTGAACTCAGATTTCCACATGAGAATCGGTGGGTGGGACTAGAACTCCTTCCTGAGGGAGCCTGACACAGCAGACACAGGAAGTAGTCACCCCGAGCAGAGTCTGACCAGAAAGCGGTTAGCCCAAATCAACAGGACCAGGAAGTAGTTACCCTGAACGTAGTATCTGGTATTCTCCGAAGTCCCCACTTTCCTACTGAAGCGCTGGTCATTGGGCTTGACCTGGCACACGCTGGCGCCAGAGCAGCCGGGGTGTGTGGGGCTGCTGAGGGAAGACAGCTGGATCTCATACAGGTAGGTGTCCCCGTTGGGCCTCACGTCCCCAGAGGCACTGAACAGCCTGAGACGGGAGAGATGAAGGTGACACACGCGGTCTTCAAGGTGGCCTAGCGTCCTTGGGGATCCTGCAGGAAGCTTCCCCAAGCTGGGGTAGCACCTCCACAAGCCCACAGACAGCGGGGATGCCAGCTTCGGGAGCCCACCCCGCCCCTGCAAGGCCAGCAGGCATGGCGGCCATCCGGGCCTCTGCACCCAAACAACAATCCAGGGACACTGCTGAGAAACCGTTCTCCCCCACTCATGGACCAGGCAAATCCCAGGCAAACCACGACAAGAAGTGCCTCAGCAAGTCACTGAGGCACACAGGCCTGTTGGTCTTGTGGCACTCCCGCTACAGAGGGACCCACATGGCCAGCTTCTCCGGGTGCACTCAGGGCTCCAAGGGAAACGTTGCGCTTACTTGAAATATATGTCCCCAAGGCTGACACTCTTGCCATTGACCGGGTTGATGAGGGTTCCGTTCTCCATCTGCACTTCCTGTGGCTTCACGGCGCAGGCTGCCCGCGAGTCCCAGCTGAAGTAGTAGGTACAGCTGTCCGTGTCAAACCTGGGCACAGGGAGGCACAGCCACGGTCACATCACCCACGCAACTGGACAGGAGAGGCAACCCAGGGCACAGTTGTGCAGGCCCAGGCAGTGTTAAAGTAGCTCCAGGCTGGGGTGGCCGTGGGACGCACGTCTGCATTTGAAAGGCAGATGGCTCCCACTGTTGGTTCACGTTTCACATGTCCAAGGCCAGGAGCCAGGCACTGCACTGGGGCCTCCCGTGCAGGACAAGAGCTGTCACCTGCTACCCCTGAGAGCACACATGAGCAGGGAGCTGGGATCAAGAGTGGAGCCAAGACTCAAGCCCAGACACCCAGGGGGGACCACAGGCAGCCCAAGAGGGGTCTGCACCCAGCACCTTGACTGTATGACGCCTCCTAGACTTTTGGATCTTTGTTTTACAAACTCATTAGACTCATATACTGATAAATCATTGGACAAGGGTCTGGGACTGTCCTTTTCCAAGCCCGCTTCCAGAAACAACATGTTTATTCACCAACAGCTCACATGCCCCTTGCTGACCAAATTCCCCCTAGTACCTGGTACAGCACTGCCTAGAGCATGGTACTAAGACCCGAGAACCATCCGGGTGCAGCCCCCCACCCCCACGGTGTTCAGGTCCAAGACCAGGAGCAGAAACAAGGGCTCTTGGCTGGCTCAACACTCAGCTAGTGCAGAAGGGGCTAAACGTGTTGCTGAGCAGGAGAAGCAGGGCTCCATGTCCATCCATGAGAGCAAGCCCTGCACCCCACAGTGAGCCAGCAGCTCTGGCTTCCAGTCTGGCTTCTAGTCATGGCAACAATGTGAACACCCTGCTGCCCACATGCGCAGTACCACTCCTCCTTCCATCCCAGTAGAAACCAGAGGAGGAGCCCAGAGGGACTCCTGGCCCAGGACACTCCACACAGCTCTGCCTGCCAGGCCTGGCTGCTCACCTCATGAACACAGGCTTGCCCACTGTCTTGGCGCAGCCCAGCTCTATCACGGAGGATGCAGTCTGGTTCTCACCGCATGGGTGACCCTTGGAGTAGGTGACAATGACTTTGTCATCTGAAACACATGAGGCAGAACCAACATTCGTTTCAGGGTGTGAAAAAGCTCTCTGTGTCACTTGTCAGAAGCTACTGTAAGGGCTGAGATGACATGACCACCACCAGACTCCCACCATGGCTGCCTCAGCCCTAGTCCAGCACTAGGGGCCAAGCTTCCAGCAAAGGGTGCTTCTCTGAGTGAGCCTGCAGGATCCAGGTGCTGGGGCCCACTGTGCATACACTGTGCAACCTCACCCACAGGCGGCTGTCATCCCTGTGTCTTCCTGACATTTTGGAGCCAAAGACCCCTCCCTGCTCCAAGCATGCTGGACACCGGGAGATTTTTTCAGTTTTGGCTCCATTAGGAGCCCAAGGTACAGGGCTGTCGGCCCTGAGAGATGGTGACACCTGCTGGACTGGTCAGACGGTGCTCACCAACCTTAAAATTTTAGCTAAGCCTTAAAATATTTCAGTCCTGCTCAACTGGCTATAGGAGAGACTGGTCAAGCATCTGGAGCCCCTGAGATGCCCGGGGGGAAGAGCTGGCTGGGCCACCCCCGGGCCCTGCCTGAGCAATGTGCGTGTGACAGCAAGAGCTGACATGGGTCTCCAACAGTTGGCAGCTCCCCTCCGACCAGTCGATGGGACTGGGGTTTGGTCTGAACCAGGGGTGACTGGTTGCCCCCAACTTCTCCTTTACCATTTCAGCGTCTCAAGCAGAGAAAAGCCACTGCATCTCTCTGGACGACTGGGATAAACCAGCTCTATGCTCAAAGGCAAAGGGCAGGATCTCCCACTTGGTCCGCAGCACAGTGCAACCTGCCTCACACCAGCAAAAACATCACCTCCATCACCCGATGATAGAGACGCCGCCTGCTCAACAGCCAACTGCACCGTCCATTATCTATGGCAATGCTCAGAATAACTATAACTTTTGCCTCTGAGGCACCACATCCTGAGTTCTCCTGCCCGAGGCCTTAGGCTGCGGCCTGGCTCTGCAGCCTCAGAGCTAATGTGGCTTTGGACCAGACACTCGATCCACAGCTGGAATGTGAACTCAGGAGGGGTGTCAAGCGTCTGCACTTCCCGCCTTCCCAGGGACATTCTCGGACACCACTCCTGAGCCGCATGCACCTTAGCACTCAAGGGGTTGCCAAAAGGCCCATGAGGTACTGTGCCAGCACACTAAGGCCAGCCCTACCTCCCAACCCCAACTCACCCATGACATCCAGTCTCTGTGTGTGCACGAGGCCCAGGGACTCGACTTGGCCAGAGGAGGTCTTCTTGCAAATGCTGGCTCTTTCTGAGCATTCGAAGGGCCCCTTGTAGACTCTCTGACACAGGTTGATGAAATACCTGCAGGACAGGGGAGCTCATCAGGCCCTGCCCTGGCGCACTCAGCACGAGGCTATGGGGCCCCTCAGCAGGGCTTCTGGTGGCTAAGAGCCGGTGCTGACCGCCACTGGCTTCTCTGATGCTGCTGGACCCAAGAGGGTGTGACCACTGCAGAAGGGAGCCTGCCCACCAGGCACACATAAGAGGTAAAATGCCCACACCCATGTCAGCCTGAGACACAACTAAGGCAGCTCTGGAGCTGGGGCCAAGAGTGGTAAACCTTGGCACGCTGCTGGCCTAACTTGAAGCCACTGTCGTGCTGCCCTGTGTCAAAGCCATGCAGAGCTACAAGGCAGAGTGGAGGCCTGACACCTGGGTCAGTCAGATGGGTAGGCAAGCGCGAGTGACATTCAACACCATGTGCCCCATGCTAGCCCCACCTGCTGGAACACAAGCCCAAGGAGCCCAGTTCCACCAGGCCCGAGTGTGGGTCCCAGGGTCTCATTTCTGTCAGCGGAAGCTAGGCACCCACAGCACACTGTGAGCCACAGGTGGACACTTCCCAGGAACACTATCATCATCACGGGGCAGTGGCGGGGGGCACTCTCCTCTACCCTCCAGCCTCGCCAATGGAACCCAAGGTCCTACCCACTACCCCACGGGAGAAGGAACTCACGTAGCTCCTTCGTAGGTGAGGAACCAGGAGCCGGTGAGGGAGGACAGCAGCCGCAGGTCGTAAGTCTTGTGGTTCTGGACGAACTTACACTCCATCTTCTCGGGGGGGCACACCACCTTGGTCTTCCACTCAAAGGTCACCTCGCAGCCGCGGACCTCGCTGATCACCTGCGGCCGCCCGATATCCTCATCCTCATCACACCTGAATATGATGGCCGACGTCCGGTGGCTGGTGGCTGTGGGGGCAGCAGGCAAGACCCAGTCGGATCAGCCCAGCCACGGCTCTCCTGGCCCAGCCCACTACATCCCTACCACCCGGCACTGGTCATCACCCAGCCGGGCCCCAGGTACCATTCCTGGCCATGGTCCACTTGAATCCATTCTTGCAAGAAACACAGCCTGGGCCCTGGGGACACAATGTCTTCTCATTGTGCCCCACGCCACTCCCCAAGACCTGTCTTCACAACTCCTTCGCATATAAGTGAGGGACTGAGGTGGGTGGCGGCATGTCGGTACACACCTCAAAATGAAAATCTCCAACCTAACAGGTGCTGCTCTTTGCAGGTCCCCAACCCTCTACCACTGCTGGCTTATTTCCCCTGTGTTCCTTTCATCCTGCTCTGCTGCGCAAAGCCAGGACTTTTGACAGGACCCTCGTGTGACACCAGTGTCCAGGGTGATAGGAGCCACAACACCACGTGGGCCTCACCAGCCCCAGCCTGACCCACATCTGCCCCTAAGTTGGCCCACAGGCCTGCCAAGACACCAGTGCCCCCAGCCAGGACGGTGGTCCCATCAGCATGGCCTCCTGGGGACTCGATGTCCAGCGCCCACACTCACACTGCCTGCAGAAGCCCCACTCGTGGTCTCGGTCGTAGTTGGCGGTCGTGCTACACCACAACTTCGCCCTGCTCTCCACGATGCACTCCTCATAGCTCTTGCCATTGAATGTGAATGGGAAGACACATAGATCGCCATCATCAGTTTCTGCAAAGAAGAAAGAGACGATTTGAAGGGATGAGGCTCAGTGTGACAGTCACTGTGCCCAAGCAGCCCCTGAGCAGCTGCCCAGTTGCCCTCTGTCCTGATCCAGTTGGGGGATGGGCAAGATTCCACCCCTCCTCATTAGCCACGGGCAGATGTGCCCCAGGCTCGGAGGTTAGCAGGGCTGCAGCACCCTTGGCCCGGGGACCCTCACTGCTCTGCTTCTTGCTGTCAGCTTCAACCCCGCCGGGCAGATTTACCTGGCGGGCAGAGGTCACCATTCACGTAAGTCAGGATGACAGCCTCGTCCTGGTGCCTGTAGTCCAGCCTCATCGACGCCAGCCGTCCAAAAGATGCCCCCTTGGTCCCCGAGAGCAGGCACACACCTCCGTCCTTGCAGCCCCCCTCGTCTGGCCCAGCAGCTGCCGTGCACACCCCCACACTGTACGTGCGTGAGTCCCGTGTCACCTGGACAGACACACACAACGTGTGGCCATGAACGCCAGTAGGGGTGGCAGAGTCCCCTAAACCTGGCAGGACGGTAAAGGCCATGCCTGGCTATGGGACCCAAGACCCTCCTTTCTCAGGGTATCACGTTCTGGCTGCTGATTGGGGTCTACCCCCTCTGTGCCCTCAGGCCCAGCTCCCTCCCTCCTCTGGGGGCTGGGCTGTGAGAACAGACAGCAGGGACACACCCTGACCCCTGGTCTTGGCCTCCTTGACCATACTGACCATACTGCCCTCTGCAGGCTCCCACCAACAGCGTAGCTGTCAGGAGGTCTCTGTCACAGAAGTTGGGGCACCAGCTCAGGCAGGGCTGGGGGCCCACGGCCTGGTGCCGACACTGACTGACTCAGTGGACCCCATGGCATGGGGTCTGACAGCCAAGGGACCAGCATCGAGTCACACAGACAAGTTCTTCATATCAGGGGCACTGCCTCACTTGCTGTGCCTGCCAGCCAGCAGCTCCTCCCTGTCTTTAAAGCCAGGTTGGAGATGAAGAGAGACTGCCCATGGCCTGCCGCTGGCCACACTGAACCTGGCTTTACCCAAAGGGCCATGGCTGCTTGCTTGACTCCAAGCCTGCTCTGACGTGGGGAACCTCACTGGGAGCCTGACCCTCCCAAAATACTCAACTTGAGACAGGTGCACACTGAGCCTGGTGGTCGAGGCAGGCAGCCCTAGCCCAGAGCAGGCAGTGGGGACCCTCGCCCCAGAGACCCCGGATAGAATCAGCGAGGAGAGTCACACCCCCTGCTCGCTCTCTGTGGCCCAGCCTGGCATGCGTTACCTTGAAGATTTCCTTGGAGAGGCTGGACAGGTTGAAGCTGTAGAGCAGCTGCTCATCTGTCAGGGAGCAGCCGTCAGCCCTCACCTCATCCGGACACACGATGGGAGTCTCCCACTCGAACACAAAGTCGCAGTCACTGGTCCTGATCAGCTTAGGTGTGCCCTGTTGGGGGGGGAAGAGTGCCAGTGTTGAAGCCCAGGGACGTCAGCACGACAGCGGTGTGGCCCACAGCAGCAACGGCACTGCAGCACGTGCTCCCGGCTCAGAGAGGCAGCCCGACTCTGCCTGCCGCACTACCTCCAGGTCGCAGTCCCCTCCCTGGGGAAGGCCGGTGGGAACAGAGTTCTGCCTCACACCAGGGCCCTCGTTCACGGCCATGCTCCACACCTGGGCCCCCAGCAGCACGGCCCATGGCCCTCTATTCACTCCCCACTTCACCCAAACCAACAAGTACAGGCGAACCAGCTGGCCACGGGTGCCCGTTGTAACTGCTGCCAAGACTGTCTTGCTTTGAGTCCAGTGGGAGAAGATGGAAGCCACAGTGGAAAGTCTCTCCAGTCTTCCCAGCAGTGGGGAGCTCATGCATCCGGTCCCTGTCACCCTCAAGACACAGCCCAGGCCGGCTCAGCTCACTGGCTCTGCATAGCTGCAGGTGCACAGAGGGCTGGACACGGCCATGTCCCATAGGCGACCACCAAGCGTGGCACGCCTGTGGGGTTCTCTCCAGAAAAGGAGGAGTTGTGGAAACACATAGCACCTGGCCCTGGGCCACCTGTGTCCACAGACACACACCCTGTCCTGTGTCACAGGGGTCCACAGACACACACCTTGTCTTGTGTAACATGTGTTTACAGAGATACACCACAGGAAGTGTGGATGCGCCGAGGGATCAACTGGACGCAGCCTCACCCTGCCACAGCGGCTCAAGCCCTCCAGTGAGGCCCAAGCAGGGACACATGCATGGACTGTCACTGTGGAGGCTCTTGACACGAAGCAGCCTCAGATGCAATGGCCTCTGCTCCTTTTCACGCTACAATTTCACCTAAGCATCTCCTTCAGCCCCAGACACGTGGCATGGTTCTGCAGCCTTGGCTCCCAGCTGCCCGCACGCATGGCGATCACAACATCCACTTACCATGCTAACGCCTCTCCTGCAGTGGAACGTAATGAGGGAGGTATAGTTCAAACGCTTGTCCTTTAAGCAAGGAGTCTTGCTTGCGAAGTTCATGTAAACCTCGTTGGCTGCTGAGTTGAGTACTGGGGGGCCTGTGACCCGGCCAATGTCCTGAACACAGGAGCAGAACAAAGCACTTTTCAGGAAAGCTTTCTCTGCAGATCACACCCCATCGGTTACAACAAGGAGAAGCACGGGGAGAGCTTTTTTTCTTTGCATTGCAATTAACTTATGAATCCCACATTCCTGGATTTTGTGCAGCAAGTGTACATGCTTGCCTCCTCGCTGTGACCCGGCCTCAGCTGCATGTCCTTTACCTGTTGCCATGTTCAGCTCACCTGACCACACCTCATCAAGTTGACCAGCACCCGTGGCCCCACCACCCACGGCCCTCACATCTGCTCCAGGCCTTTAACGTGCTGCTGAATAAGCAGCTTGAGTTTCCTACTCATCGTATGACTAGCCCTACACCAGCACCCCACTCTGCCAAGGACTTCTCTCACGCACAATTTAACCCTGCACACTTTGGCTTGCCGACCCTGAGGCCCCCAGGCTGGCAGGAACGTGCGGTTGCACCTGTGCTCTCATGGCCCCAGGTTTCAAGACTTGCTGATGACCTTCACGGTTGACAGCTCACTGCACAAAGCCTTACACTAACACTCTCCAGGGAGGATTCGGACACACACACACAAACAGGCCAGCCTGAGTTCCCCCCTTTAGCCCTGTAGGATCCCCACCCTCTCCCCCACCCAGAAAGCCCACGCTTCCCCAACTCACAAGGGGCGATCCATCCACAGGCACTTTGCACACAGCGGCTCCGGCGGGGCAAGCCACGCCGTGCATAGGGTTGAGTGGCTGGCAGATGTTGATGTAGAAATCGGGGTAGGCATCGGAGGTTTCTTCCTCGCTTTCATCATATGCTTCGTAACCGCCTGTGCGGTGGATGAGGGGTGACAGGTCGATGATGGAGCTGCCGTTCCTCACGGAACATTCCGTCTGTCGGAAGGCAGAGACCACAGCTCAGTCACCAGAAACTTTCCCTGGTGCCTGTCAAGCCACCCGCCATGGCACCAAGCCCTTCCCCCAACTTCACCCCTGGGGCAATCAGGAGTGCAGGGGCAGGAAGGTGGACTGTAGGAAGCTGGGGGCCTGGGTGCAGCCGGGTGGGCATGGGGCAGGCACTCACCACCTGCTCACACGCCAGGGGTGTGTGCCAGGAGAAGAAGAGTGTGCACGTTTGCTTGTCCAGGGAAACGAGCATGGGCCTGTTGGTGGGCCCCGTCTCGGGCCTGCACACGAAGCTGATGACACTCTTGTAGGTCAGGCCATTTTTGGAGGGACAAGGGGACCCGTCCTCATAAACCAGCTGCAGGACCTGGTCCACGTAGCTCAGCCTCTTGCTGGCCTTGCCTACGCTGATTCTGGTTTGCCCAAAACAAGCTCCTGGAACATTGCAGGGCCAGCATTTCAGTGAGAATTCTAAGCAAATCCAGACCCTCCAAGTGCACTGACTCCGTGAGTGTCCCACACGGGGCTAGCCAAGGAACTGCATGCATGTGGTCCCGGGGCTTCAGGTGACTACCCCATAGCAACTGCCTGCTGCAGGGCAGAAGGGGGTCTGCCACCCTGGCTTCTCAGCTCCTTTGCCATCAGCTCAGGCTCAGGCTCAGGCTGAGGACAGCTCCAGGGACTGGGCTAATGAGAAAATGACATGGGAAGCCCCAGCACTCACCCACACCAGGGGAGCAGTTCTCATTCTCTCCACAGATGCTCATGTACACCAGCCCCCTCTCGCTGTAGGCAGCTGTGAAGCCAGCCCTGCCACTGAGGGAGGTCAGGTCGAACAGGTGTCCTGCGAGGAGGAGGAGCGGAGGTCACATGGTGAGCCAGGGAGCTCACATCCCAACCACTGACCCGCGGGCTGACTGTGGCCCTACCACGTGCATATCAAGACCACTCAGTTGGTCCCCAATGTGGAAACTGCCCCCACAAAGAGATTCCATGTGCCTGGGAAGAGCCAGTCAGCATCCCTCTAACTGGCAGGGGACCAGCACACATGTCTCTTCAGGTGTCCAGCCCTGAGGGAGGCAGAAGCCCCCTGCTCGCCCACCACATTGGCTTCAAGGCAGGCCACTCTGCAATGCCCCCAGCCGGCACAGCTGGAGCTGTCAGTGAAGCCCAGCCAAGACACCCCACAGTCCTACAGGATGTCAAGGATGCATTGTGATCATAACAGGCTATCCCAGAGAAAGGCCAGCTATGCCCCACACCACACGACACCCTGTTCAGGCAGCCTGGCAGCCCTCAGCTGCTCTGGGGTCTCTCACCTGTGCCTGGGCTTGGGAATCATCCCCACCTTGGCTCTCACCTATGCTAAGCTTGGGAACCCCCCAAGCCCATGGCTCTCACATGTGTTATGCTTGGAGAACCCCCCGGCTCTCATGTGTGCCGAGTTCAGGGACCCCCCACTCTCACCTGTGCTGAGCTCAGGGACCCCCCACTGGCTCTTACGTGTGCTGAGCTCAGGGACCCCCACTGGCTCTTACGTGTGCCGAGCTCAGGGACTCCCACTCTCACCTGTGTTGGGGTTGGTAACCTGACAGTTGTCGTGCACACTGCTCTTCAAGGGGCAGGCAGAGATCGTGGGCCAGGAGAAGGTGTACTCACAGTCCTCCACAGCACTGATAAACTGAGGCCTGGAGTTCTGCAACGGAACACAAAGGGGCCAACTCAGCAAGGACACGTGCCTCTGCTGGGCATTGCCAGAGAGCCAGGCACATGCCAGGAAAGGCCAGTGCTCACTGCCACTGCAGGCAAGGGCCCGATAACCCATGCAGTGGCCAGGAAAGTTTCCAAAGGCTGGAGCACTAGATGGGACTCTCTGGGGATGCAAAGGGTTCCACGCAGTGCAGGGATCACTCCTAATACGGTCAGTGCAGGGCAGGCCACTGAGGGGACCAGTGCTCCCCATTAGCCAACTTTGATTCCATCAGTACACCCTGGACCTTACAGGCCCTGGGCCGGCTTTTTAAGCCATACTACACACTCCAGGAGTCTCCACTGCCCTGTGGGCCTTTCCTGCATGCTGGGCAACCCCCTGGTGTCTGGATGAGCCTTGCCCCCGACCCAACCACCTGCTCAGCCAGAGCCTGGAGGGGCCATGGGCCCAGGTTTTTAGCGCCTATTGCCTCAAGAGTCCAAACTCAAATGCCTGCCTCTCTCCCAGGAGGTACTGGTACTGTGGTTGCACTGGTCAGGAGGGCAGCTGCCAGTGGAGTGGGAAGGAAAGGGGAGGAGAAAAGGCATCCCTCCTCCATCTCCTCTTTTCCTGCTGGGCACAGCCTTGGCTAGAAGGGATGCCCAAACTTAGCACACTCAGCCCTTGGAGAAGCTGCTCACACAGTGCTAGCTCCCCTTCACAGCCACCATCACAAAGACAACACTGGCATCTGTGCACTGGGCACCTGCTGTCAGAGATGGCCCCTGAGGCCCCACCTTCTCCCCCCCAGAGCCATTGGCAGCAGTCACCTCGGGTCAAGTCTCTATAGCTCTGAGGATACCCGAAGCCATCTGGACACTAGAGTGCCAGGCTGAGGCTCCCTGAGTCCCAGCAGCCCACTCTATGGCTCTAACCTCACCCTCCTGGACTCTTCAAGTCCCAGCCCAGGCACACAGAATAAGGGTTCACAGTCTCTCAGCTCTGTTCCATTCTGGAAGATTCCAGAAGATGCATCAAACATAGACCACGGGGCCATCACTCACCATTTGGTTCTCATTGCAGGTGAAGCGAATGGTGGTAGACTTCTTCCGAATGCCATCTGGACAAAGGTCACCATCCACATACTGGAGGATGGTGACACCATCTTTCCACTGAGGACTGTCCTTGACCCTGCCCAAGTTCACAGGCCTTGGGCCGCCCACCAGACATGCGGCCGCCTCCGGGGGACAGGGGTCTGCAGACAAGGCAATCAGACAACCGTAACATCGTATCACCTCCCACCTCCCCACAGGGACCCCCATTCATACCGGTGCCAGGCTGTGGTGCCAGGGACTTGCACACGTTGATGATGTAGTGGTCAGAGGACCCGGTCCTGGTGATGGCCTCCCAATTGTCGCTGTACCGTGACAGGGACGAGAGGTCGTATGGTTCCCCAGTGTCGTCTCTGGAGGAAGGAGAGCACAGTGGTTAGGCTTCGGGCTACTGAGCACCGTGGTTATGGGACAATGGAGTAAACAGTAACAACAAACGCTTGCTATCCATGGTTTTCCAGGAACATTTCAAGGACGCATGTCCCACTTGGTCTGTCCCTGATACCCTGGACTCCAGCCCTACCCAGGGACAGAGCTGCATACACACACACACCCCAGCACACAGCATCCAGCAGCTCCATGGGCTACCTGCCAGCCAAGTCGGAGACTCCCCCGCCCCCAGAGCCGGCTCAAGCCAGCCTTGCAAACGCTCACTGTACACAAACCCATGAGTTCAAGAGTTCCTGAGGTCCACCCTGTGCCATGCCACGCAGCACCCATGCCACAGTGGCGGGCTGGGGTGCAGATAGGAGAGGACTTCATGCCTCCTCTGTCGGGCATTTGAAGGGGAGCAAAAATCCCTCACACACACAGAAACACACGCTGAGCAGGAGCTGGGGGCTGTGGCACAAAGAACCCAGCAACCCCAGACTCATCAGGAGAAGCAAAACACCAGAAGCAACAGAGTCGGTGCCATGGTCATGGGTGATGGGGGTCAGGTATTGGCCTGCCAACGTGGCCAGGCAAGGCAGCAGGAAACAGCAACCGGTGAACACATGCTGAAAAAAGCAGAGCATGTGAAGCCAAGGAAAGAATGGTGTGGACAAGCGAACAGTGAAAGGAAAGGGCCCGTGGCCTGTCCCAGGCAAAGCGAGCACCATGGGCAGGGATAAGCTGAGTGAAGGACAAACAGGAGCCCACTGGACAGGTTGACATTCCAGAGAAACCCAGTACAGGAGACACCAACACAGCCCTCAGTGGTGGGCAGGGAGCACAGGCGGGGACAAGAGGCTGCGCCTGCCACATAAGTCAGTGTATCCCCGCAGAAGGCTGACCTCCAGGGACAAGCAAGAACCACAGGAAGCCAGGTAGGGGGCGGAAGGTGAGGCTGGAGCGAGTGGGCAGCTCACATCACATAGTTTTGTCCTCTGAATTAATATCATTATACACACGGTAACTTGTACTATAACCAACTACAAAATTCTCCTTCAACATTCACTCGATCTCTTAAAAGATAGTGTATAAGGGGAGGAGCATGGCAATGATGTAGTACACAACCATTCATCTACAGCACTAGCATCCCATATGTGCACCAGTTCAAGTCCCAGCTACTTCATTTCTGACCTAGCTCCCTACGAATGGCCTTGGAAACCAGAAGATGGTCCCTGCACCCACATGAGAGCTTCAGATGAAGCTTCTGGCTCCTGGCTTGGGCCTGGCCCCGCCCTGGTAATAACAGCCCTTTCAGGAGTCAATCAGTAGATGGAAGATTTCTCTCTTTCTCTATCCCTCCCTCTACCCACCTCTAACTCTGCCTTTCAAATAAATAACTCTTAGAAAATTAAAAAAAAAAAAAACTAAAACCATGTGTTTAAATATATTACTAAAAGTCACATGCTTCCATCAACAGGAACATCCAGGGCTGGCTGTGTGGCTCCCACAGTTGCTAAGCTCATGAAGGATGGCCAGTGCATCCCACACATGGCACAACCATAGGTTCCAGGCTGCAGTCAGCAGCCATGGGATCTGGTGGAGTTCGCAATGATTCTGCAGAATGTCACCCAGTGGGCCCCACTGACCACGTCGGCTGCTGCCCAGCCAGACCCCTAGGGCTTGCTGGGGTTGCAGGGAACAGAGAACTCAAAAGCACCCAAGCATGAGGATGAGCAGCAGGGCAATGCCATCTTCTCTGCCCACACTCAACCATTGTGCAAGGGCAGATCAGGGGACTTTCATGCCATGGAGCAGAGCCCAGGCACCCTCGTCGTACCACCCAAGGCCAGGCATGGCAGGCAGCCACAAAGGCTTCCGTGTTGCATTCAGCACCCATCACTTCTCTATGGACATTGCACACGCAATCATCCCAGAACCCCTAAGTCACCACCTGAGCATGACACCCTGCAGTAACGCCAAGGAACCAAGGCTAATCACAATGACCCACTCAGTGGATCCCCCCACTGCCCCACCCCCAGCCAGATCACTGACCTCGGCAGCGAGGTGCCACCACATTTTTCTGTCCATCTACTGAAAAACGACAGCACCCACGGGTGGCCACTTACTTGTAAGAGCACTCAGTCACATGGAAGGGTGGGCACGCATGCTGGGTCCGCCACTCGAACACGTAGGAGCAGTCTGAAGTCTCCCTTAGGAACATGGGCTGCCAAAGGGGAAGGGAATGGCCACATGTCGCCAGTTAGTGATGCTCAAGAGTTTCAGGGATGGCAGCAGGAAGGGAAAGGCAGGATCCCATTAGAGGCCATATAGACAGATGGAGATCTGGGCCATACAGACAACACCTTCAGCCAGCAAAGGGACAGGGTATGAGACCTGGGGATGGGAGAGGCTTAGCCTCTCTCACCTTCTGTGTGCTGCGGTCACAGTAGAAGAAGATGGTGGTGGAGCGCTGATACACCTTGTGACATGTGTCCCCACCTGTGTAGTTCATCCTCAACAAGCCGTTCTCATATGTCAGCTTCTGCGTGATGAGACCTGCAGAACAGTGGCAGTACCACATGAAGCAGGGTCTGGGCCACTATGCCAACGTACATCCGAGCCTGCCCTGACCCTGTCCTGCAGGCCCAGGCTCAATGCCCTGGCATCATTTCACCCTTAGCTTCGCCATGACCCCAACTCCTTCTACAGTGCCAATCCAATTCTTGCTAAGGTACGCCCTGGGAGGCAGCAGATGATGGCTCAAGTACTTGGGTCCCTGCTACCATTTGCTCCTCCCATTCAAGAGAAACATGGACCACTGTTCCCCCTTCCCTGCCACCTCCCATTTTAATCTCGCCCATTTGTGGAAGAGCAAGAGGAGAACAACAGTACCTGCCACTTTTTGGAACCCTCCTGGCCCTTTCTTCTCCTGACACGACGAGACAGTCTTGGACTTGTCACTGATGGGACAGACATCCAAAGAGAGCTTCCCGCAGACCCGGAAGTAGTAGTTATACTCGCTGGTGCTGACCATGGTGTCGTTGAGGCCCAGTGGCTTGAGGTCGTACAGGTTGCCATGCCTAGGGTCCCTCACTTCACAGTTGTCCCCTTGGAGGACACACAAGAAGTCAAGGGCAGACGTGAGGGTGTGTACATGGCCACATTCCTGGGTAAGAGCTGCCCCATGCAACCTGGCCAACACCGACAGGGAACAGGCATGTAGAGCCACAACCTCAACACTGTTCTAACTTGACCAATACATGCTGCCTGGCCAATGGCTTTCTGGAAAAGCCTCGGCTGAGGATGGAGGAATCACTTCACCAATGGAGCAAAACCACTGCCAGCACCCTTCTTCCCAAGGCTATCAGGCTAAAACCCCCACCCTGCAAACCAAGCAAGCACCATGGACTGATCGTCCAGCAGTGCACATTGGTCTAGCCCCAGTACGTGTTCTGCGAGACCCTAGAGCTGGCGCAACAGGCTCTGCTTCCCAGCAGCTGTCTACACTGCCGGCCACTCCTGCCCAGGAGCGGCCCTGTCTCACCTTCCACCCTGACCACAGGACAGGCTTCCACGGTTCTCCAGACGAACACATATTCACAGCCATCCTGTAGCTGGAAGGTCGGCGACCCCTGCGGCATAAACCCACAGCCTGTGAGTCCACACCCATGGCATCCATGGCCGGCCACAGGGAGCTCACCTCTAGCCCCCCTGAGCAAAACAGGCAGCTGTTATGAGCATATAAGTCCTGGGTGGGAAAGACAGCCTGACAACGGCTGGAAATCCATGGAAACACAGGCAAACTGGGATTAGGAAACGGAGAGACCAGCTATGGTGAAAGATGGCACCTGGCCGCCCTGGACACGTACCGTGACCTGTGCACACTCGAATGTGATCCTAGTAGAGTAGCGCTGGCTCCCACACTTGTCCCCATTGACGTACACGATGCTCAGAGAGCCGTTTTCCACTGCCTGGGGACTAATCTGCACCACACCCAAGTTCAAGTTGTTCTCCTCTGACACCAGGCAGGACCCCAAGGCAGTGCCTGCAACAACCGAACAGGTGATGTGTGGGGGCAGGACCAGCATGGCACAGGCAGTGTGACAGAACAGTCAGGCGGCACTCACCATGGCAGCCAGGGATGTAAGGGAGCGGATTGCAGACACTCAGATAGAAGGTTCTCTTCTTTCCACTGCCCGAGACATCCACGGCAGTCCAGGGCTTCCGGACGGTGCTTAGGGCACTCAGGTCATACTCATTCCCGGCGGGGTCTGAAACGCAAGGCCAGGTGTTCGGGCCCTGAGTTGATTCCTGGGGGCTGGTTCTGCCACTTGACTGGAACTGATGGGTCGAACTTCAGGAGCCAGAGGGGCCTGACCCACAGAGGTCCCTGTCCTTCGAGACATACCACTTAGGATAGAGCAGGGCCAGCCTGCACGTACTAGGGTACCCTGAGAACGGGGATGCCTACTCTTCAAAGGAGTGAGTGGCAAGCAATGTGCTTTTATTTCCTCCCTCTGAATTTTTTCGTTGTTAAGCAGCAACTGATCCCAAAATTTAGCTTAAAATCCTTTAACTCTATGTCCAGATTCTCAAGAAAAACTCTATAACCCACGCTTTAGGCACTGCTCAAAGAAACACAAAACGTCATGCTGTCTGTTCAATGAAAGACACCTCGTCATGTGCACAAATCAAGGGGAGTTCCAGATACCCATAGGAACCTGAATTAGGGGTTTATCTCAGCACCAAAATATTTTAAATTCATGCATTTTTTTCATACTATGCACCATTTTGAACCTTCTGGAGATCCTCATGGGCACACAGGGGTATGCACACTCACTCTACCCATCTATCCACCATGACTGCTGGAGCTGTGCCTCACCGGTGACTTGGCAATCCACTGGAGAAGGAACACAGGCCAGTGCGGTTTCAAACTCGAAGTAGGTATTTCGGACACCTCGCCTGGAGTCAATGTCCTGGTGCAGGAACTTGGGGGCTCCTGGGTAGATGTCATCGTTGCACACAAAACGGATGATGAAGGAGGCACCTGTGCAGGGAGAGGCCCAGAGCTGAGAATGTAGAGCAGCCTCCAGGACATGCAGTGGGCCTCCAGCCAGTCTCACCAGCAGTCCCTGCAGGACCCAGTTGGAACACAGTGGTCACGTCCATGACAACAGTGACTCACGAGCTTGCACCCAGGGTCCAGAAATCCTTACTCTCCCACGATCGGCTCGTCCATGCAAACCTTGGAAAAGGATGAGTCTCCCTTTGAATTGGCTATTCAGCAAATAGTTACTGAGTCCCTGCTTTGCAGAAGGCAAAGGGAACCAGGCTGCCTGGCTGCACAGCAGAGAGCAGGTACACAGGCAGGCAAGGGAGGGTGGCTCAGAGTAGGCCATCACTCCAGAATCAGGGCTTAGCATGACGAACAGGGACAAACAGCAGGTAACCACCACAGAGGTAGGGCAGGTGACATGGCCTGACTGCTGTGTGGATACACACCACTCTGCCAGGAATAGCGCAGGGCAGAGGTAGAGGCTGTGGCACAGGTCATGGGGATCTGCAGACCACATGATGCATGGTGTTAACACACAAGGATGCTTCCTGAAGCCAGGACAGGCTGCACTATGGAGCTGAGCCAAGGGTAACCCCCCGCCACCACACACAAACACACCTAGTGTGTTCAGAGATTCACACCCAGGGGCCAATACGAATCATTAACCATGTCATGGCCACACGGGCACCTCTACAAGGAAAAGACCATGATTTTCCAAATCAGAGCCAGAAAGTCAACTGTATGAAAATGACTCATCCGTTTTACTCTAAAACAGAGCTGACATGGGCGAGTGAGCACGTTTTCCTAGGCAGAGTGAACTCGTGGCTTTCCCAACTGACTGGCGTGGGACAGCAGCCAGCTGTGTGACCAAGGCGGGAGGACTTTACCCTGCCTCCACTCTGAGCATTTAGCTCCACTCAGGAACTTCCCAACGCCAGCTTTCACTCAAAGAAAGGATGACATGCCAGCTTAGCTGGCCAAGGAACACTGCCTCGAGCTCCCTGAGAAAACCACATGGTCCTGAGCCTCCTCAAGGTGTAAGGAGCACACACGCTCAGGCCACCAAGCACACCACATCTGCCTGGTGACTTGCAAGCCACATTCACTTCCCGAGACCCATCAACATGTGTCCATCTACTTTGGCCAGTCTATTGAACAGTCTTTTATCCAACTACAAACTTCTGTCTTAGGTCCAAGTCCCCCATCCCTAACAAACCCTACAGAACAAGCCTGGTTCTTTTCTAGGGGAAACCCTTTCAGGATTGACAGCACACGCAGGGCCAGGACTTCTGTTCCCACAGTGAATGGATTCTCAGATCAGAAACTGCCCTTCCTGTACTGCACTGGTTCCCTTCCTGGGCTGGAAAGAGTTTCCACCAGCACCTGTCAGTGTGAGATGTGATGCCGAGAGTCACAGGTGACAGTGAATTGGGGTGCAACAAAGCCAGGAGAGCAGCACCCTTCCACTGTCTTCCGGAACAGCACTCTCCCAATGTTGCCTGCGAAGGCACAACACTTGCAGCTACCACGTCACACCACTGCCCCTCTGGGGTCATTATGACATGATGGGAGGAGCCCAAGCACTGCGGTCAGACTGGAAACCTAAAATCCCAACTGCACTGCTGATCAGCTATGCGACAGCAAGTAAGTGGGCCTTGCAATCCCTTCACCTGCAAGCTGGACTCAAATGCTAGGACCCTTCCTAGAAAGAAGCCTTGGTCCCAGGCCCCTGGCTCTCCTGGATCCACACCATGAAGGGAGGCAGAGTGACAGAAAAGAGATTGAGTCAAGGAAAGTTTAGGACTCCTGAGGCTGGCCTGAGTTCACCAGGACATGCCCACACAACAGGGCTGCTTCACAGGGAGTCTCAGATCACCATCTCTGACACTGTCGTCACAAAGGACACATGGAAAACAAAGAATAAGCTTGGGCTGCACAACACAGGTGCAGAGGGAGGTAGAGAACCAGCATGATTCAAAGCAGCAGAGCTGCATTTACTGCGAGGGACACCAGAAAGACAGAGTGGAGGGAAGGCAGGAGACGGAGAAAAACAACTGGGAAAATAATGCAGTAACTGATCATCCTCATTCATCAACTCACCTGCACCTAAAAGCAAGGGCGGAGCGGTTTGTAAAAGGAAGGGGGAGAAGCAGGAACGCTGGAGCCGCAGGTGCTAGATGCAAGACACCTGGGGAGGGAGGGCGGGCAAAAGGATGCCCGGGGCCCACAGCACATAGAAGGAGCCTGGTCCCAGCTCACAGTCAGAGTGGGAATGTGCCCAAACCATGGTTCGTGGCAGCTGCCAGAACCAGCAGCTGAGACCTCACCTCTAGTTGAAGATGACCCTTTGTAGACCAGGGTCAGGAAGCCCTCGGTGGACAGCTGCAGGCTCTTCTCGCCTCCAACGGGCCACTCTGGCTTCAGGTTCGTGAGGTCTTCGGTCTGGGTCTTAGCCTCACAGCCAGAGGCTGGCGTGTCACCCACGGTCCCACAGATGGGCATTGTGCCGCACACGTTGAACTGGGGTTAGATGGGAAGAACCACACAGAGCTGGTTAGGCTAGGCGACCTCCTCCAGTCAAGTGCTTCCTGCCCACCACACATGGTCCCCACTAGGATCAACGGGTGCTGCTAACCCTAAACCCTCACCTGGGGCAGATGAGTCCCACAGTCAGTGCAAGAGGCCGAAAACAAGAGAAAAAAAAAAGTCCTACAAAGTTCACACTGAGACACCCAGAAATGGCTGCTGGGATCCAGAGCACGCACAGCCTTGATCTGTCCATTCCAGAACAGAGGCAAAGGAGAGAGGCCACGGCTTATAAGCCTCCTCATGACATCAGGGAGGGCACACAGAATTGGAATGATCACCAAGTGACAATCTGGCATTCTGCAAAGGAGCTGGTGCCCCTGCTTTGAAAGGCAGTGGACACTGGGTGTGGAAGTGCAACAGACTGTTTCTTGGTGCAGCTGAGACTGCTGTCAGCCACTCAGAATCTGTACACAATCAACACAGACTAGGAGACTGCGTGCTAAACCCAAGCATCCTCTTTAACGAACGGCCTGCAAGGCATAGGCCCACCCCATGCCTTGGCAGCCGCCTGGGCCACAGCCAGGGTTCCCCGATTGTGGGAGCCAAATGTGGGTTCCCTTTCCTTTCAGGCCTTGCCTGTGAGCTGGCGAAGCCAAGAAGCTCAGATGATGCTGTGGGTGTAGGACCTGCTCATGAGGGAGTTCCCAGGACCCTGACAGCCAGATGCCATCGCTTACCATAAATGTCTTCCCAATGGCTGGGATCACATATCCCTGAGAACTGTTCAAGGGGCTCAGATTGAACACAAATCCACTGTTGGGGTCTCGTATAGAGCACACCTGTGACAGACAGAACGGGCCAGGGAGGGGACTCAGACCTCAGGTTTGCAGCAGAAGCCTGCACACGCCACGCCCCAGGCAAGCCCAGGCCCCTGCCAGACCCCGGAGCAGCCGGAGGCTCTGTCGGTGGCTGCATCTCAGTGAGGGAACTCTCACTCATCCCCAAGGGGGTGTTAAGTGAGAACCACAACACACCCAGAAATAATTATTACAAAGAAAACTTGGGATTGGATGTTTAGCCTCGCAGTTAGGGTGATAACTTTCTACACGGCCGTGGCTAGGTTTGATTTCCAATTCTGGCTCCCAGCCCCACCTTCCTGCTGACTGACACCTTCAGTGCCTGCCACCCCCACAGGAGGTCCGGCCCGAGTTCCGGGCTGCTGGCTTGAGCGGGACCCTGTCTGGGCCTCTCTCCCTTTTTCTGTCTCTGAAACAAATGAAAACCTCTGGAATTCACCCCACAGGTGACATCACATTAAAATGTGCTGGCTTCACCCAATGGCTAATATTTCATTTAAACCGGAGCTTCACCCTATATGTGACACACACGGAAATGTGACAGGTTGCAGTGACTTGTCAGCTCCGTGGTGACAGGGAGGGCAGGAATCCCTCGGATGCCACTGCCACATGGAAGGGGCACAGGAGGCAGGCCATGGGCAGTAAGGGCAGGAAGCAAACATTACCCCAAAACCCAGAGCCTGAGACGGGGACAGAAGGTAGCAGGGGTGATGAGGCCCTAAAAGGCAACTCAGAAAGCAGGGCGGGAGCAGGGTCCCCTGAGGGAGGGGACTCAGGGATAGCACACGTACCTGGTCTGTGGCTGTCATCACCTGCACAGGACAAGCGGCCTCCGTATTCCACAGGAAACTGACCACACACTCCCAGTTGAGGGAGAAAATGGGGTGGGTGTTCTGAAAAAAGTCACAGCCAAGGTGAGTGTTGATGGAACACATGGCACTCTATGTGACCAAAAGGCTGAAACCCATGGGGTGCCAATGCTGTGTGAAGACAGCCGTGTCCCAGGACTGTGTTCTTGGCACGCTGTGGGGGGTCACCTCGCTCCACTCGGGGGTAGAAACTCAGAGACCAGGGTTACAGCCGGTGAGGGGATGGGGTCCAGACCCAGAGCTGGGTATGAGTCTGGGCCTCAGAAAATGCTCTGCACCAAAGGTGAAGACGAGAGTCCAGACAAAAGGATGCAAGCTCAGACTCGGGAAAACGAAAAACAAAACAAAACAAAAATCAACCTAATCCACGGTGCCTAGGCACGTGTATGTGTGGTTCAGGGCAGGAGGGGAAGCAGGCACGGGGGTGCAGTGTCCAGCTCGGCTCTGGCTCCCCAGTTGTATGTATGTGCCTGCAAATCGCCCACCACTATGTGCTCCTCCATATGTTCACCAGGAACGTTTCCCCAGACAGTGCCATGCTCCCGTTTGGGACAGGGCCCCTCCACCCTGGGTTCACATGGCAGAGAACTTCTCACATGTCAGGTGCTGCACCGGGGGCTTCAGCAGCTGCTCTCCTGTCTCTGAGGACCCCAGGCTGGGATCTACAGGTTTCAGGAACCAAGGGACAGGGACGACACTGCCCAGCGCTACAGGTGAAGGAATGGTGGTCAGCTGGCTTTGAGCACAGCCCCTACCTGCCAAGGCTCTCGACTTGTAGGCCCCACCCCTGCAGCACTGACAACACAAGAAACACACACCTGCCCCTGGGGCCTCACAAGGTGGGTATGCAAAGCAATAGGGCTATAACCCAAGATGGCTATGCTCCATTCACCCACAGCTTATCTCACGCCTTGAGACCATAACACATACACACAGACAGAATTGGAGACAATACGTGAACCCACTCTGAAAACTAAGGCATCAAAGAAACACCAAAAAACAAAGGGAATTTTCTGGAAACACCCAGAATTTCCACAACGCCAAGACAGCTTAGCAGGAAGGCGTAGTCTGCACCAGGGAGCTAGGAATGGCATGACTTCCAGAATTCCCACTCTGCAGCTACTGAACCATCCAGAAACTGCTCCAACACATGATTCTAGCATAACCTCAAACCGGTGATGAACGCATGTCACTGGCCATGTGCCATACATGCCCAATCCCCCAAAGCTGAACAAGTTGGCCAATCCTATGCTACATTTATGTAAGCCCAGTTCAAAACCATGAGCAACCGGAACAATTCACGTGGTGTTTCTCCCACTTACCAGGTTCCCCCGGGAGCAGACCAGGTGGATCCGCGTGGTGTAGTTGGTCTGCTCACCATCGCTGGTGGTGCAGGCAGAGCCATTCACATACTCCAGAAGCAGGCTGCCAGTCTCCTCCACTATAGGGCCTGTCTTGGCCACCCCCAGGTTGCTGATGGACACGGACTCGGTATAGGACTCCTGCAGAGACAGAGTCATGCTGGGCCACCCCAGGGACAGGCACGGGAGGTGGAACTGGGACCCTATGCCACAGGCCCAGAGCTGGAGACTCCCAGCCTGCCCTGTTCCCATGCCCCCATCCTGAGATGGCCAGGAAAGCATCCCACAAGGAACAGCGAGCTCACACACATCAGCAGGACCATGAATCCTGTGACTAAAGGAGAGCTGGCTGCGCTTCTGAGGCCACTGGTCCACTCAAAAGGACACATGGGGCCGGGGACATAGCCAGGAACTCAGTTCCTCACCACAGGGTCCACTCACCACCCCGTTTCACAAAACTCTGCCAGCAGCCACTAACAGATGGGTGAGGTCATCCTTGACACGCAAGCTTACAGAAAGCAACACAAACACACAACCATCTTGAAGACCACACAAGGACCCCAAAGAAACACCCCAAAGAGAGCAGGTGCCCATGGTATGTAAGTGACATTTGCAATGCACGGATTCTGTATCAGCTTTCTGCTAATACACAAGCGACAGTTCAAACACAGGGGCCCCTGACACCTACACGGGAAGCTCGGCCCAGCACCCCCTCTCACTGCCCTGGCTGCTGCTGGTATCTGGGGCAGTGAACCAGTGGAGAGATTTTTCTTAAATCTCAAGACGGAGAGAGCTCTCCCAGCCACTGAGAGCTCCCTCCATCCCCATGCTGTGATCAAACACTGCCCACGACACAATGCTTGCTCTTGGAGCTCCAAATCTGAACAAAGGTTTGAGTACAGGCTCGGCTAACACTGCTCTTGCTCAGTGGGGAGGTCCCTGACACTTTGGCCAACCCCAAATAACCATCTCCAGCCACAGAGCCTAGTGCCGGAGGAGAATGGGTGCTGGCCAGGGTGGTGGGGGACGGGGGCTTGGGGAAGGGGTGCGCAGACTCACTGGAGTCTTCTGGTACTGCATCTGGCAGGCCGCTGCATAGCGATCACAGCCGAGCACCGGGTTCAGGGGCCGGCAGACGTTGATGTAGTACTTCTTCCATGTCCCGCGCTCGCCCGAGTTGTCCAAGGCGTACCAGTTCCCATCACGAATACCTCCTCCTCCACCCCCTCCTGAGTTTCCTTCAGCTTTTGCAAGACTAAGATGGCAAAGCAATAATGAAAAAGAAAAAGAGGATGCTTTCAGAGAGCGTTCTGGCTACACCCCAGGTGACACACATTCACCCCTGACCTGCACTATACCCACGTGCCTGCCAACTAACAGTCACTGTTTCTCAATGATGGAGCTACATGGACATCCCCCGAGGGCTGCCAGGTCAAGACAACAACCCATTCTGCTCCCACTGCTTCTGTCTCCCTGTCTGGGGACCACCACGCTTCCCACTGTCACTGCGGTCGGCAGCCCGGGCCACCTCACCTGGAGAGGTCATACTGATCCAGCGTGAACGGGTCAGTCACCACACACTCTAGGGGCTCCTCCGGGCAGGCGTAGCTGGTGTACCACCGGAAATTGTAGGTGGAGTTATCCTCTTCCTGGACCCAATAAACACAAGGACACAGTTTTGAGCAAGGACAGTACAAGAAAGCAAAGTTTCCTCTGCCTGTCTCCCTCTACTTAAATAAAGGAGAGACCACCCAGCAAGAAATGAAGACAGAAATAAGCCTAAGAGTGGGCAAAGCTTTTTGATGCTTGCGTATATTCTACCTCCAACCCCAAAAAGGCTGTATGGGCTGACACAGAGGCACTAGCCCACAAGCGATTGCACCGTGGGCCCTGGCATGCCCCAGGTGGTGGTGTGAGGGATGGATCAGCACCAAGACTGGGCACAGTTCTGTCTGTACCCACCTGATACTCAGGGAAGCCCACACCAGCGTCGCGATCACACAGGAATGTGATGAGGGTGGCCCGTGGCGTGCGCCGGGCGTTGTTGTAGGGTGTGCCGTCCCTGTAGCTCAGCTGGATCATCCCGTCGTAGTAGGAGAGCTTGTTGCTGCTCACTCCCAAGTCCCACGTTTTCCCAGTGCTGAAAGGAACAGACACACCTCAGACAACACGTGCTGAGTAAAGCACCAAGGCCACTATGCTGCAGGAGGGGGCCTGCTGCAGACCCCAGGAAGCCCAAGGCAGTGTCCAAGGGCAGAAGGGCCCCCACAACCCTGCCAGGACCCAGAGCTGCTGTGACTGTCGCCCACTTTACTGGAACTCTTTTCCTGTAGAACGGAGGAGCCCACATGCAAGCCGTGAGGACAAAGGGGTCCCCAGGTGCCCAGCCCCCTCGCTTGGTCAGCCCAGCTTTCTGCCACAGAAAGACTTGCCTCTTCACCACCTGGCAGGCTCCTGCATCCGAGGTACAGGGGGTCCCGATGACGGGACCACAGACATTGATGTAGAAGTCGTACTTCCCAGCCTCCACTTTGTAGGCGCCATTTTTCTTCATGAGTGGTAACAGATTAAAGGAAAACCCTGAGGACAGACACGAGATGAATGGGTGTGGGTTGAGATGCGGACGGCAGAGCATGGGGCTGCATGAGGACTGGCGGCAGGAAGCACTTTCTGGCCTCCAGCTTTGCCATCCCTGACTACTCCTGCCGGCATGGTCATACCTGCCAGGAGCCCCTGACCTTGTGCACGTAAGCTCTGCGTTCAGCAAATATCACTTTCACCAAAGTCAAGCCTGTGTCCCAGCTGTCACATGGCAGAGACTGTGAGCATGGCTGGACTGGCACTGACCAAGTTCTAGAGTGATTCGTTTAAAGCCCCCGTTAGGGAAACTCCGCCGCTCAGACACGCACCTGCCTGAGAATCAAAGACCGTGCAGTTCTCGCCTTCAGTCCGTGATAGCACGCAGGCGGCAGCCGTGTGCCACTCAAACTCGTAGAAGCAGCCATCGTCCCCGGACGAGGTGAGCACCGGGGCACTTTCCAGATCTCCTGGTGGGGGAAAAGGGCTCCGTCAGCAACAATCCCTCCCAAATGCCTTCCTCTCGGGGGCCAGGGGAGAAACACTGCGGGAATGTGGCGTGCGCAAAGCTTGTGGGAGGAAAAAGAAAAGAAGAAGAAAAAAGCAGAAGCTCGGATCTCAGACTTCCCCTGCAGCAGCGCAAACCCTCTGCTGACAGTTTTGCTTGTTTCCCATAAACTTCCGAAAGCCCTGGAGTGGTCAGCTCTATGGGGCCAGAAAACCGAGCGGGCACAGCAGCTGGGGCAGAGCCAGGACAGCTGCTGCTGGATGGGCACACAGCCTTGATCTGAGAAGTGACAAAGGCCTGCAGATGAATGGTGACAATGGCCACAGAGCACCACATGTCACTTCAAAGGGACTCTAAACATGAGGAAAAAGGTGAAAAACGCTGTGTCACCACAGGTTAGCCACCTGCAGCAGCAGCATCCCACAAGGGTGCTGTTTCAAGTCCCAGCTGCTCTACTTCTGATCCAACTCCCTGCTAACTGCACCTGGAAAGCAGCAGTAGACGGCCCCACGAGCCCACTCACGCAGGAGACCGATGGCTTGGGCCCGGCCTGGCCTGGCTGCTGTGACCATTTGGGGAGTGAACCAGTGGATGGAAGATCTTGCCTCTCCCTCCCTCTAACTCTGCCTTTCAAATAAATAAATAAATCTTTGGTAAAATAAAACAAACATCCAGCAAATTCTATGTTATGTGTGCCTCATCGCAATAAACAAAGAGAGCCTCCTGCGGGTGGCGTGAGCCTCTGTCCTCGCTCAGCAGGAGGAACTCATCCTCATGAAACTCTCCAGCAGGAGACCGCGTGAGCACTGCCGTGGCACAACTGCCAGGGCAGGGTGGGATGTTTAAAAACAGCAAACACGGGCCCAGGTCAGCAAGGAACTCCACCCTGCTATAAATAGACCAGCGACCTGAAGAGCATTCACAAGACACACTGGAGCAGTGTGGCTGTGTGGAATACAGCAAGGCTTTGATTTGGTCAAACTGTGGAAACGAATGTGACATTTACCAGGTGAGCCTGCGGTTGCTGGGAAGCCACTCATGAGCGCCCCATTAGGAGGGAGGCAGTGAAGCCCACACCCCTCACCCCCTTGGGTCCTAGAAGTCCAAGACTCCACGACTCAGGCTTGCGCCTCAGAGTCCGGTGTAGCTCCATCTCCAATTTCACACTTCAGCAGTGGCTCAAGGCAAGGCCCATGCGAGGATCCAACCGCCCATCTCCCACCAGGGACAGGCCCAGCGCCGGCACTCCTCCCACGCCCCCTGGTGGTGAGTCAGGAGGACAGGCCCGGGTCCCTACAGAGGCATGCCTCCAGCCACAGCTACCCACAGTTGGATTGGCGTTTTCCCCTGAGTTTTACCTGGTTTGCACACGAGCGTGATATTAGTTGTGATCTGCCTGTTGTCACCACAGTCATCACCGTCAGAATAGGAGAGCAGAATGCTTCCTTTCTCTTTGGTGGGAGGAGAAATAAACTTCCCCAGATTCTTCTTTCCAGACTTATCTGGGAAAGACAAAGAAAAGAGAACACAAATGGAAGATGTGGTTTATAAATGATTTTTGACTCAGATGAAGTTCAGCAGGTGCACCTGCTGACCCAGCGGGGCTAGGAAGAGGTTTTGCTGACTGATAAGTCTGGGGCAGTCACCGGCACACTTAGAAACGCAGGGCTGCCTCCAAGTCTCAGGGATAAACAGCCCAGTGTCCTCCAAGGACGCAGGCATCACCAAGTGAGCACATGCCACAGGACACCACAGGTGGCCTTGTCACTTGGTGGAGCCTGGGCTCCCTGAGACACAAAGCCTTTTGATAGTGAGGCCAGGGGCTGAGGGTTGCTCTCACAAAGCAAAGTATAAGCTCACTGAACCTGTTCAGCAACCCAAAGCAAGTGGCCACTTAAGGATTAAAACTTTGTCCTCAAGTCCTTCTTAAGGAAAATTTGCACACTTGCTGAACCACTTTCTTAAAGACACACCACTGATTCTGAACACTGGGCAGTTTCAAAAAGCCAACCGGGATCCAAAGATCCAAACCGAACATTCCCATCATATTCTCATTACCCCGTCTGGTTATTCTCACAGTAAGGCTTGAGTGACAGGCATCAAGTCGGGAAGTCGGTAATAACTTCCAGACTAGCCAGAGGGGACAAACTTAACATGAGGGACACAACCCAGATTCCACCCCGCCTCCGACCCAGCAATGGGGTAGTTTCAGGCTCGGAATGGGTTTTGCACAGGCCCTGGCAGTGTGACCCTCCAGATTACAAGTGCAAGAGTTTTTCCAGTTCCTGGTTCCGGTCTTAGCCAGCATCAGGGAGCTGCCGCCAACCTGGGCTGCCACCAACGTTTGACTTGCTAAAAACATCCTCTCTGCCACTCTCTCCATGTGGAACCCGGACAGAAGCGGCTTCCACCAACCGCAGGGCAGTCAACCTCACGGCAAACCATGGCGGGCCGCCCGGGGTGCGCCCACAGGCTCGACTCACCAACTGCACACACGGCGGCCTCCTCGTCACAGCCCCGGGCCTGGCCCTCCTGCAGCACCCGGTGGCAGATGTTGATGAAGAAATGCTTCTTTTCTCCTCCCTTCTGGCTGCCATCCACGGCTTCCCAATTCCGCTCTGATTCTGTCATCAAGAAAAGGGGGGCACGAGGGAGAGTTGGTTTCTGTAAGCCTTCATCGTGAGTCACACCAGCCTTGGGGATCAAGCCAAACAGGCCCGACCCTCCCCAAGCTGTGGTCAGTCACGTTTCTGGAAGCTTCTTGGGCTTCCCATTCATTGTGAAGGAAAATGCCTGTACCCCTACACTGTCACACACAAGGATGTGCATACCTAAGGGGAACAGAGAAGTTAAACAGCCAAAGCTCCTACAGCCCGCAGGATGCCATCACTGATTGGACATGCCATCGGGATGCCAGCCTGTGTCCAGGACCTGGTTTACTGGCTGGCTGGCCAGCACACTGATGCTACTACCATGACCAGAGCCACTAAGACAGTCCCTTTGCAGACTTGAGAAGGCAAAAAGCCAGGGTTGGCATCATGGCGCAGCATGGTCAGCTCCAGCTGCGACAACAGCATCCCACTCCGGAATGCAGGTTCTAGTCCTGGATGCTCCACTTCCAATCCGGTCCCCACTAGTGTATCTAAGGAAACAGCAGAAAGAAGCTCAAGTTGTTTGGCCCCTGTCACCTGTGTGGGAGACTCACATGGAATTCCTGGCTCCTGGCTTCAGCCTGGCCCAACATCAGCTGCTGTGGCCACTTGGGGAGTGTCCCAGAGGATGGAAGTCGCCTACCCCTATCCCACCCAGTTTTTCTCTGCCTCTCAAAGAAATCATCTTCCTTTTAGAAAAAAAAAAAAATGGAAGCAAAAAACCTACTGCTCATTGGTGGTGACACAATGATTTCAGAGAAAGATCCTCTAACGCCAACAGCCCACGAGGGGTTGTGAAAGACTGTGTGAGAACAAACACGGCCAAGACCACCCAAGTGCTAGAGTTTGGGCTGGAGTGTACAGTCACTGATGGGGGCCTCTGTCAGCAGCAGGGCCAGGGGGACACGTCAGCTCTCTCCTGGCAGCTTCCTCAGGGCTCCCTACATGCAGACCCCACAGGAACACTCTGGATTCCCAGGGATCCATGGCATGGGTCACATCCATGTTTAGAGAAATAAGTGCTTTCCGGCACCCCTTACACATCCAGTGTTGTGTCTTGTACACAGTGATGCTTATAAATCAGAAACAAAACCAAGACAGCTCCCAGGCTAACCTAAGGGATCTGATCCCACCACCCACGCAGCTCAAGGTGTTTCCCGGGCTCACTCTCAAGTGCTCCCAAAAAAACGGCTGAGGGACTCCAAGAGTGGCCAGCCACATTGAGACTTTGCCTGGGCGGGTGTGGCCTCCACCTTCAGCACAGCACTGTCCTCCACATGATGGCTCTGTGCAATATTTGTGCCAAAGTGGAACAATAAAGTACATTTGGAATCATTCTGAAATCCATGCAAAGTTCTTCAGAATACACATTTTCTCCAAATGCTTTGCAAGAACCCTTGCAGACCTATTTCCAGGGCTGCTAACCAAGAAAACCAGCATGATTCCCTGCCCAGCAAAACCAGAGGACTCTCACGGGCCCCTTGCCAGATCCCCAAGTCTTGGCTGGGTGCTGGGTCTCAGTGACAAACCCAGCCCCCAGACTGGTAGGCCTCGGCCCAGAGCCTGAGGACACACTTCCAGCATCCATGACACACACAGAACCACCTCCAGCAGGCGCCCATGTGGGCAGGTGCAGATCCCGTCTGACACCAGAGGGAGAAAGCACAGGGTCACAGGGACAAGGTCCAGCAGCACCTGCCGTCCCACCCACCCATTGGACATGTGTGCTGAATATGACCATCACAGGCCACAGCTGGGGGGATGTCCGAGCACTCGCCAACGCCTGCCACAGAGTAGAGTCCAGCAGCATGTGCTAAAACTACATGAAGAGGAGTCCTCAGTACCCTGAGCCGACAAAACCCAGAACTGCTACCCCGCATCATTTCAACGCACCTTCTAACAATGGCTACAGGTAACCTGAGGAGAAGCCAGGGGTCAGGACGGCATTTGCAGAAGCAACCACAGGCACACAGAACTGGCCATGTGGGGAGGGGGACGCTACCTGAGTGGCGCACCAGCGCAGACAGGTCGTAGCGCTTCTTGCCATCAATGGCCCCACATGGGAGGCCTTCCTTCTCCTTGATGCAGGCGTACTTCGTGTCCCAGACGAAGAAATAGGTGCAGTCGATCTCCCCAGTGTAGATAGGTGCTCCTTTGCCATCATTATCTGAGGAAGTCACAAGCAATTCATCATCATCATCATCATCATCACTTAAAAACCAAAAACTGAGCGACATGACCAAACGGGGGACTGTCCAGGGAGGGGAGGCGGGGGAGAAAGGACCTGGCAAACAGGGCCGGGGTTAATTGTCAAATGAAGGTCATGTTTCTTTGCAAGAGACCCCGGAAGTCAGAGATAAGAGCGGCCACTATGAAGTTTGGCAGGCAAACACAAACACACCGGGGGGACTTCCGCTGGCACTGAGCCTTATCGAGCGGGCCTGACAGACAACTGTCAAGAGGGCTGGAAGGCCACAGGGGCAGCCCCAGCAGGCTTCCCACAGATCTAGGGAGGCCAGGAGCGTCCCCCCAACACAGGGTAGAGAATGAAGTGGTTGTTCCAAAAGCATTGGTGACTTAATGGTGCCCCTGGAGCAAGAACAGGGCCCCCAAGGGGATTGGGCCCTGGGAGGGACACACGGAAGGAAGAGACTGCCCGTGGTGGCCCCAGCTGCGGCATACTGCTGACGGTCTGCCCCAGCAGCAGGGGCCCACCTCCCGTGCTGCCAGCATCTTGTGACTGTTGGTGCATATGGCTGTGGCCCCCTCCAAAATCAACAGCCACCCCCTCCGCTGCCTCCACCCGTGGGTTTCCGATCCACCAGCCAGCACGGCTCCGCTCCAGCTCAAAAACCCCACTCTGCACGGGCCACTTCCCCTTTCCACGTGGCTTGGGATTCGACAAATTCTGCTGACTCTCTCCTTGCTGGAAATCCTATCCCCTTGCCACTGCAGGCCGGTGGGCCGCTGGCAAAAGCCCCGTTTTCCACCCCTGACGGCTTAATGATCCCTGCCTGGGCCTCCCACGCGATCAGCCTCCTTGAGGTTTCCTATCTGGAGCGGCTTAGTGTTCGAACGGAAATCAGGTTCTGGATCAAGGCAGACAACATTTCCATTGTAGGCACTGCTAAATGTTGCATACGATCATCATCCATCATCATCATCATCATTGTACCAAGCCCAACCTCAGCCTCCCATCACACGAAGGCTGTTTTTGTGGGCTTTCCACATACTAACATCCTGGGTCCTCCAAACACTGTGGCTGGGATACAATTTTAGCCCAATTTGTAGATTCGGGGTGGTCACAGTTTTACAGCTAGAAAATAGGGGAGCCAGGAAGCCAGCTCGGCTGGCCTGGCCCTGGAGCCGGGCTCACTCCCGCACGCAAGGCCACTTTATGGCCTTTCTTTCCTTCCTGTGCCCCTTGCTCGGGCTGGCTGGCTGTGTTTTGTTTGATTATGAGTGCCTTAAGACACTGTCCGGAAGAAAGAGTGGCCCCTGCCTTCCTCTGACCCAGGAGGGCAGCATCCTGGAGACAGCCCTGCCAGGGAAGTCTGGCATTGCCCACAAATCTGCATGCTGACCTTGCAGCAGGGACTTGCACTTGCCCCCTTCAGCCCATCACATAGCTTGCATGCGGCCGAACCCCCACAGACAACCCCAGCCAGGGCACTGAGGGCCCCAACGTTCCGGCTGCGTTTGCACCCGGGGCTTGAGTAAACTGCCCAGTGCATACATTCAGTGACCCGGATGCACCTTGCCTGTTTTCTTATCTCCCTTCCCAAAAGATTTCATCAGAGCAGGGAGCCCTCTACCCACCCCATTTGTTTGGCAACGGAAGTACCTTTGCTCGGGGGTCCCCTCTGCTGGGGGGCTGTGTGGTTCCAGTCACTCTGTCTACCTGGAGCAGGAGCTTCTCACACCACCTCTCCCCCACACTCACACCACCCCAACGGTGCTGGCTGGCTCCCCAGGGCAGTGTGATGTGTGGCTTCCTGGGTTCTGGATCTCAGGGCTGCTTCCCAAAAAGGAAAGGGTATTTTGGGAGGGGGGAGAGGAAGGGCCAGGGGCTCTCTGCCTAAGGATGGAGGTGGCATCTGCGGCTCTCAGCTCTGGGGCAAAGACAGCACCACCTACTACCCAGCGAGACTCTCCTATCCTTCCGGGGATCAAGATAAAGTCAGCCTCCCCACCTTAAAGCCTGGCCCAAGTGACTTAGTTGCAGTTCATTTAAAAAAAAAAAAAAAAGCCATTTCCACTCTGTATAGACCACAGACAGTGGCCCACAAGATGGAAATAGCGTGGGAGGTCCTGGAAGCCCACCATGGAGCTGAGCCCACCGCCAGCCACGGCCTCCGAAGGCCTGTGTTCAACAGGGCGAGCAAGTGGGGAGGGACTGGGCCATTCCAGTGGGCGCAGGCTGTGTAATCTACCCCTCCTCACACGCTTCCCATGTCGTTGCCTGATGTCGTTCAGTGCCCAATGAGCACGGGAAGGCACCGCTCACCAACACACTTGGCTCGAGTCACGGAAGCATGAGTGACTGTGGTGAGGCCATCTGAAAATGCACGGGCCTTGGATTCTAAATCACAAATTGGGACAGACGTGGTGACACAGTGGGTAAAGGCCCTGCCTTCAACACTGGCATCCCACGTGGGAGCTAGAGAGTCCTCAACTGCATCATTTCCAATTTAACTCCTTCATGATGCTCTTGGGAAAGCAGCTAAAGATGGCACTAGTGCTCGCTGCCCCCTCTGTAGGAGGTACACTCTGGGTTCTTGGCCCAGTCCTGGTTGGTGTAGCCTTTCAGAAAGCAAACCAGCAGATGGAAGATTCTCTCTCCTTCTCTCTGCTCCACTCTCTCCCCATAACTCTGCCTTTCAAGTAAATACATAAATCTGCAAAAGTAAAGAAACAATCCCTGAAAACCCAGCTTAAACTATAAGCCAGGGGTAAACTACCTTACACAGCCAGTTAACACCAATTAGTGCTAACCCACATTCAGAAATGCACGCACACCACACACAGCCACCATGGGATTCTCTCTGAAAATTCCCCATGTAAATTCAAACAAAAGTAATTACAAAACACCTTCACTGACACTGTTGGCACCCGGGGTCAGAATCTGGCAGGGGGCACTGGGGAGACTTTGAAACCCTGAAGAGAGGCGCAAACCCTCCACAAGGCACCAGAGCCCTTCCTTGTTCAGACCCCCATCTGTCCCCGAGCAGACAGTCCAGCGACAAAAGGACATTACGGTAGTTCATTGTGTCAAGTGTGGCAGGAAGAGGAGCTCCTTCCGGGCCTCGGAGTGGGGTGGTGGGACCAGACAAAGATGCACGGTTTATGAGAAGCAAATCTGAAAACAACCCGTGTGGGTATCGGAGTGGCCCCCTGTCCTATCCTTTCTACTCATGTGTTTGCAATGTGCTGAGATAAGGAGAAACAAAGAGGGGAAGCCACCGTGGCAAGTTCCTCCACCTCCTGCTCTGGGCTCAGCTCTGCCACACCCACACCCTCCCCAGGTCTACAACCCTGTGCCTGGCTGTCCTCCACACCCTCTGGCTCACTGGGTGCTCCTACTAGCACCCAAAGGTGAGACAAGCATGCTCTCAGCCAAGGCCAAGGTTGGAGCAGGAGCCACCCGCATATCGTGGCCAGCAGGGGTCCTGGAGGGCTGGCTGGGGTAACCGCAGCCACAGCCAAGTGTGCACACATGCAGGAGGGGCCTGACAAATGGCAGGGGCTGCAGAGCAGAAAGGGCTGGAATCCGCAGCTCAAATTCCATCCTTGGAAGCAGGCTGGGAGGGGGAGGGGAGGGAGCTGGGAAACCAGGGGAACCTGAGGGGGAGCGGGGCCTTAGACCGGATGGAGGCCAGCCGGAGGCCAGACAGCTCTCCTCGCTCACAAATCCCCCAGCAGAACTTGCAGAGCTGCACGCGCAGCGCGGCTCCACGGGCGAGGATCACAATGCTGCCCTGTGTCCACCACAGCAGCCTGAATGCCACGAGTCCGGGTCCTACTCCAGCCCGCTGTGTGGCAGCTAGTCCCTCCCTGTGGCCTTGCAGCCCTTGTCACAGCCCCAGTGCCTCCTTGGGACTCTGGGACACTACAGGGCTCCAGCATACACTCCAGGAGGGCTCATTCAGCCCCTTGCTGACTGTTCTCTGCTCCTCATCTCAACACGGAACCTGCAGGCCTCACAGGGCCTTAGCGTGTACGCACCAGAACAATGCTGGCACCACGAAACTGACACATGAAGGGTGGGAGCAGGTGGGGAGCAGAAAAAGAGAATCCAATGGGAGAGTACAGCCCAAGTAGAGAGGGGAGGGAGGACCAGGCAGCCAAGACACATCCCAGGAACAACAGCACTCCAAGGACAGAGACACGGGGAGCACTGGCTGGGCTGTATGACCCAGGGCCCCACCCTCTCCCCTGTGTCCATGCCTTGAACAGCCGCCCCTCCCAGTCCTGTATGAAGCACCTAGGAGCACGCCCTGTGGCCAGGCCAGCTGAGCTCTGCCATAGAAACCTGAGAAACAAACAGAGAGGGCCAGAAAGACCCTTGGGGTGGGGTGACTGCCACATGCACTTGGGCCAGTTGTGCACAGATGGGGTTGGAGACCAGGTCCAGCTCCAGAAAGAGAGCTCTGTAATGGGCAGAGTCAGCTGCAGGGGTGTCTGGGTGTCGACGGGTGGGGATGGCGGCCATTACCTCTCCACAGGCGCCACCCAGGTCTGAAATCTTTAAGATAGGAGCAGCACAGCGGGGACATGGTAGCACCTCTGGCGCCTTCTGCTAAATGTGTGCTATGCTCGACCGTGGCAGGGCCCTTTGGGCTGCCTCAAAACTCATTCATTCCCTGAATGTGGCAGCACGTACTTAAGACTGCAAAGTGCACCCAGCTCTCATCTCTCCACTCCCTGAAGCAGAGACAGAGACTCTCCTAGCAAGCCCCGGTGCTGGGCCCACTCCCAAAACAAACACTGAGAGCAGAGGGAAATAGAAACAGGATGTGTGTGCCGTGAAGGGGGCAGGGGCCCAAGTCCAAGAGAAAGACCTGGTTGGGACTGGGGGAGGCCAGGTGCAGGTGGGAGTAGGGGAGGGAACATCTGTCTGCTCCATTGAGCATATGTCACCTTGGGCACAGGGGTGCAGCGCCCTTCAAGGCACAGGCTAGGGCTGAACCCTGCCTCCACACTCACCTGCGGTCTGATTGCACTCAAAGGTTATGACGCTCATCCGCTGAAAGCCCGAGCTGCACTCCTCACCTCCAAAGTAGATCAAGGTGAGATCTCCGTCCGAATACCTGGGTTTGCAGATACGCACACAGACATGTTGGGCAGAAGCAAGGCGGGCTGGATTTGTTTTTTTAAAGATGTCTACATGAAGCCTTTTGCATAGCATCAACAAATCATTACTGACATAAAACAGCAAGCTCTCTAGCCAGCTTGGGGGATGGGGCTGAGGCCAGGGGGTGGGAGGCTGGGGGGACTTCGAAAGGAAATGAGTTCCAAATGGACGGACTTGTCGTGCTCTGAACTTCAAAGTCCTAACGGGCTGCAGGAAAGTGCTGACGGCTTCGCTGCGAGCATGAAGACTTCTTCTGCTCTCACTTCTGGACTCTGTGCAAAATCAATCATGCCCAGGGTCCAGGCAGCCTTTCCGGCCTCTCGCCCCTAGGATCCAGCTTCCAGAGAGCTGCGTCTCCAGTATGGCTTTTGTGGTAGTAAACTGCCATGCTAAATGCACCAAATGCATCTGGGGTGGAGGGGGAGAGGGCGACGCTGTTTAAAACTTGCATGGAAGGCTAACAGCATTTTCAATTCTCAAATCACCAGAGGAAAAACCCAAAACTCTTTCTGAAGAACATGGATTTTTAAACACAGAATCGTGAACTAGCTGATGTGTCTGCAGGCTGGATCCTGTCACACAGCAGATGTAGGAAGCACACAGCTCTAACATAAGCGCTTTCATTGTATAGGCAGGAAAAAAAACGCCAACTGTTGAGCCACTCACATCAGAAACAGGAAGGGACGCTGGCTTAACCGATTTTCCTGAACTTTATGGAAAAGGGAAGGAGGAAGAAGAGTAAATTATGTTTCCTAAAAATATAAAGGGCCTTCAAAAAGTTCGTGGAAAATGCACACAGTGAAAAAGCTCTGTGCGGAGTCAGGATTTTTTTTTTTTTTGACAGCGAGGAACTATCTTTTGACTCCGTTTCCCACTGCCTGTGCCCTGCCGCGGGGGGTGGCAGCCTACGCACCGGAGGGTCTGGTTTTGTCCTCTGCCAGACACTTTGCGCTGGGTAGAGTCTGCCTTCTTGACCTGGCAGACGGCGGCATCTCTGTTGCGGCAGTCGGTCATCCCTGCTCCCCCGCAGATGTTCAAGTAGAACAGGTACTCTCCCCCGTCGGCAGTATAGGGCGAGCCTGGGCCGGGGGGCCGGGCAGGGGGCAGGGGGAAGAGGTATGTTCTTACACAGACACACGCTGGCCCCTGGCCACAAAGCCGGCCCTGCCCTCCTTCCCAAGCAGGGCAGCAGCAGGAAGCAGCAGCAGCTCACCTGCGGGCTGGCCCAGGGGGCTGAGGTCCACCGTCACATCATGCTGCCGGCTGCTCAGGGAGCAGCTCCTGCTTTCCAGGTAGTCCCGATAGCAAGCGTACTCAGTCACCCACTCGACCTCATACCGGCAGTTAGATTTAGCGGTGAGTCTGGGAATGGTACCCTGGCGGGAAGAGTGTCAAAAAAGAGGCAGATAGAAACGCTTAAATGTCATGTATGTGTAGATCCGCCACGCTTCCAAGGAGCTCAAAGACAGGACGGCGGTTTGTTTGTTTGTTTGTTTGTTTTAATATATATGTGTTTCTGCTCCTGCCTTTGGAATTGTAACCGCATTCCAATCTTTGGGCTTCTCACAGCTCGGTTTCTTTTCCAAGCCCCTTCAGGGTGATCTTGCCCACCCTGAACTTGACGTCAGTTGGTCATGGTCACCACCTGGACAAACAGCAAAGACCCCTACAGTGTCATGTGACTCAGCCAAGGCTCCTGAGACTGACAAAGGGGTCTTGGGGTCCTCTTATCTGCTCCCAGCCCCGTAGACTCCAACAGGGGTCCAGCTACCCTGTCCCGTTTATCCTCTGGGGCCCCGCACTGGTGGGCTCCACAATGGGATGCTGATGTGGGCTCTGAATCTGGGGAGAAATGGCTCGCCGGTCTCAGGACCAGACGCCCCGTGTGGCTCAGCTCACTCCGTAAATATTTATCGAGTGCCTGTTGCCTGGCAGGCCCAATGCTGAGCTCCGGCTCTATAAACAGGCCACCCCTCAAGCGAGCTGCAGGTCTGCAGGTTTGGCTGGCCTCTGACTCAGACTCGATGCTTCTCTACGCCGGGCCCAGGCGGAGCTGGGTGCTGAGTGAAAGACGCCAGGCGCACGGCTGGGAGGGCATGACATGTCGCTGATAAGAAATGTCCAGAACGAGCAGCCGAGCAGCCGGTGGGGACACAAAGCAGATTCCCGGCTGCCTGGGGGCGGGGGTGGGAACAGGAAGAGGCACAAGGCTTCGTTCTGAGATGGTGAAAACATTCCAAAAGTGGGTGGTGGGGAAGGCTGCCCAGTTCTGTATATACTAATAGCCACCAAATTATACTTAGGCAAGCAAATTTATAGTATAGAAATGCAACACAGCATTTTCAGAAACTCTTGACTTGCTGTGTGTTCTCCTAGGAGCTGACCTGACCCTCCTAAATACTGGGTGTCCAGACACAGTGAAGTCAAGCACTTCTGGCTGAAAATGGACCCTCCAGCCCGGCTAGCAACAACCCAGCCCCTTCATCCCACCCACTGCTGGGGAAAAGGGACCCCCCAGCCCCACTAGTAACAACTCCCCACCCGACCCCTTCATCCCACCCACTGCTGAGGAAAACGGATGGACACTCCCCCCTCTCTCAGCCACCATGCTGCAAAACTACCATGACCAACGACAGAACCAATGGAACCAGCCAACTATATCTACTACCAGCTTGGTTCGTCTGGCCAGGGTTCCCATCTGTAGGAACAAATGGAAAACACACAGAAACACTCCTCCTCCACGTTTGCGTTGGGAAAGGGCGTTGGAGGGGCTTCGTGCAGCTGGCAGCACACGGGCATGAGGTCTGGGGGCGTAGAACGGACAGCTGCGCCTTGACTCCCCACCCCCATCACACTCGCACACAGAAACCAGGCCAGGGGCCAGCCCCGAAATCAGAGCAAATTCCACATTTGCTGGGTGGGGGTAGAGGGGAAGCGGGGGTGGGGGGTGGGGTGGGAGTGTGGTTCTTGGGCCAAAGAATTCGGGCCCCTCCCACTTCTTTCTGCTGGAAGAAGGCAGAAAATAAATGAAAGGAAAGTCCGAGCCCTTCCTCTCCGGGGGGAGGCCCCCTCTATCAGCACCCTGGACTCTGTGAAAACACTTAAGCAGCAAACTGCAGAATGCACGGGGTCGCCCAGCCATGGGGACTCAAGGACAGGACTGCAGCTGTGCTGGGGATTTCACAAACAGCCAGAGGGCAGAGTCATAAATCTGCCTGGGGAGAGTGATTGAGTGAGGGGGAAGGCAGGCAGTGGGGCCCAGGGAAGAGGGATTCAGGGAAACGTTCCCCTCCAGAAACCCCAGGCTAGAGAGTACGCTTAGCTTGCCAACCATCCACTAAACGCACCAAGAAAAAAAAATCCCACGCCACGAAGCACACACATGTGCTCCAGCAGACCAGACTAAAACACCCCCAGGTGCGGGTCAAGCCTCGGGCACTCCCAGCTGCTGCACAAAGCAGCCCACGGGCTCTTCCCACTGGGGTCCCCCATTTCCTGCACCCACACACACGTGTTCGTCCCTGGTCTTGGTCACCGAGACTCAGCACCATACCTCTCTGCGCTCCGACGGGCAGACAAACGTGACCGTTACGGCGGGGCTGTGTCCATCACAGAAGTCCAGCTTCTCTGCCCCTTCGTTCACGTAGCTCAGGACGAGTCTGCACCCAGCCACGGCAAGAAATGAACATTACAAAGTGCGGCCCTGTCCTCGGGGTGTACCAGTGGTGAGTACAGTTCGGGTTTAACATAACTTTTATTTCCTTTGTCATTTGGAGAAGTAGGGAGGTGGGGAGGTTAGTGGCTTCAGTGAAAGCTATCTTGTTAAAAATCAAATAAATACAATGACCAAGATGTAAATTTGAAAGACTCAGAAAAGGTGCTGGAATAAAACAAACAAAACAAACTTGTAAATGATCTAACAAAACACAATAAACACAGACAAGCAGGCCCAGCACATTTCTGACTGCAAGCCAAAGACCTTTCTTAAAAAAAAAAAAAAAAAAAAAAAAACCAGGAGACACCGCTGGCCCAGCAGTTGCCAGTTGCAGGCATGGGCTCTCCCCGCCCGCCCAGAGCAGCAGCCACGGGCCCCAGCAGCAGGAAGCGCCTGGCGCCCATCGGCGGGCACCGCTCGCTGTGGAATGTGCCCGTGGCTCACAGGCCGGCTGCACAACAGCTGAAAACAGACGCCTGGCCTGTCCTCTGAGCCAAGCCTGGGCCTCTGCTGGGTGCCCCGCATCTCGCCCCACCCTCGCCAGCCTGCCCCAGGACAACACTCACCATCTGTCACTAAGGACAAAATGTTGGGGCTGCAACCCAAGCCCTTGGGACTGTGTGTGGAGACACAGGGGCTTTTTAAAAAAGCAAAGGTTTTTTTTTTTTAAGGAAAAAAAAGAAAAGTTCATCATGCGGGAGCCCTTAGCAGTTACGTGGGGGGGGGGGGTCCCCTTATTAGAAAAAGAGAGTGAGATGCGTGGCTAGATGGGCAGCAGCACACTGAGGAAGAGACCTCGGGACCCACACTTTGCTCGGGGACACACACAACAAAGATCCCAGCAGCCAACTGACTTAAACTGCTATCTCTAACTGCATACTGTTCCAACTGCCACTCAGCTACACCACCGGCTCCAGCAGCCAGGCGTCCCTGAGGCTCCCAGGGCCGGGAGAAAAATCAGAAACCCCGACCTCAGGTCAGGATGTGGCTGTGTGCAACAGGCTACAGCCGACAGGCATGCCGAGAAGAGTGGAGAGTGAGGTAAACAGCATCACTTATCTCAAGGGGCCAGCGACCTCGGCTGGAGAGTAGGTAAGCATGAGGCCCTGGGGAGGAGGACAGCACGCTGGGCTTCTGCCTCCCAGACACAGAACCTCAGTACAAGACAGCACAGGTGGCACTTACGCAAGGACCAGATGGGGACACACACACTTCACTGTCGTTAGAGACCAGTGACTGGAGACTGGCCCACAGACAGTTCAGCCCACATGACCAGCTCCATGGCCCTGCTTAGAACAGATGTGTTTGCAAAGCCCCAGTGGGTCAGCTTCTGGCTCAAGACCTCCCAAAACAAGATCAGTGCTGACTCACCTGTCTCGGCTCAGCAGCCTCAGCCCCTCCTTGGGCTGGCCAACATCAAATGCCTGGTCACCTCTCACCAAGCAGGCAGCAGTGCCGCGGGGACAGGCACGCAACTGTGGATTTGCATCGTGGAGTGAGTCTGTAAGAGAGATCGCCACATGGTCAACCAGAGTTAGCGACCATCTCAAAAATGGCCAGCACACGAGCCCTTGGGCCCAGGGTTCCCTCAGAGGCATCCCGGAGTCTATCCAAGTCTCAGGAGGCACTGTGAGACCTGGGGCAGAGCCCCGGGAGCAGTGACCATGTACTGCCACTAGGGCCACCTCCTTCACGTGCTACCTTAGCTGCAGAACCAGCTGCTCACTTGGTGTTGTACCCTCTGCTGGGGGCAGGGGGAGGAGAGAGGCGTAGTGCTCGGACATGCTGATGTGTCTGGGACAAGGACAATGATGGGAGCTGTGTGTCCCTTTGCCTAGCGTGGCTCAGTCAGTCCTGCTGGGTGCTCTCGCCTGCCTCAGTCTGAGCTTCAGCGAGCCTCCAGAGAGGGGCTTTGGGAAACTCCTTCTGCAGCCTCCCTGGGGTTTCTGTGCACCCTGTGTCCCCTGCCGGGAGCAAGCACATTGGCCTTTCACTCCCTCGGGGCAATGGCTACGGACCCAGCTCCCATGTTGTGAGGCTGGCTATGCTGGAAGATAGCGTGGACCTCAAGGGTAGGGACCCCCATGAGAGCCCTAGGGGGTGCTGGCTTTCTCCTGGGAGCCCGGCTGGTTCTCCCGTGGAAGCTGGAACCCAGCCCCACACAATCTCTCTCACTGAGTGCCTGTCCAAAGAGGACTTCTTCCTCCCACCCATGCCCTGTACTGGGGGCCTCACAGGAGCCTGTTTGTTCTGGGCTGTTTGGATGCCAGCAGCCAAAGCCGCCCACTAAACATACCCTGTGCCTTTAATTTGTGACTGTCTTGTCTACTGCATCTCGGTGTTGAGAAGCAGATATGTACTGGGGGGCGGGGGGTGTCCTAAGACCCAGCTGTCAAGGCTGTTTTGCTCCACGTGCAGTTTTCTGGGGTGCCCCAGTGGGGCTGTTTGGGTTACCAGCAAAGCCAAAGGTCAGTGCCCTGAGAGTGCAGAGTTGAACCAACAGCCCAAAGGGGGAGGAAAAAAAAAACAACTGAACCTGACCTTGAGGTTTTGAGAATCAGGTTCAAACCTGGATTGCAGGTCAGGGTAATTTCTAGGGAATGGAGAGGCTGCCTGAGCCGAAACGGGGCCGGCTCGTGTGAATCAGCCTGCTAGAGCTCGGCTCTCCGTGCCAGCAGGCCAAGAAGCAAACATCCAGTTGAGTCCTTAGAACCCCCACATGAGGGCTGGGGAGCCCCATGCTTTCGGGGTTTGCAAACGGCCCATTTAGTCCAAAAGTCAATAATCTACCAGAGTGCTGGAAGTGACAACTCGGCTCGAGATACTGACCCACTTGAGACTAAGACTTGGCTCTGCTGACTTCCCCTCACCCCAGAAGAGCAATAAATCCCGTCCTTGGACGGCGAAAGACTGATGTAATGACCTGCCACGCACAAGGGAACCTAAAATCATCACTCATCGCTTTCTTGGGGAGCGGCTGGGCCAGGGGCCGGGAAGGGGAGCAATATGACTTTTAACTATTTGGACATCAGACACAAACAAGATGACACACGGTGGAGAGATACAATTTACACCATAACTTCAAATTAAAACTCCTATAGCTATCACCCAGTACTATCCCCATGTACCCTTCAAAAAGAAAAAAAAAAAATCATTGACCAACGTTTCTAAGAATAAAGCCTTAAAGCAACCCTTCACGAGCCCACAGTCAGCAATGCCAACTCCTCAGGTGAGGCCAGCACTGGCCTCCAAGCCTCATGAGTTACAGCCCCTGCCAGGACGCAGGCAGCCAGGTAAGTAAGGGCACAAGCGTCTTCCGTGGGCACAGGCATCTGCATAGAAGTGATATCTGCGTCGCCCCCTCAAGTACCCCCCAGGCCTTGGTTACCCTCACCACCTCCCACCTGGCTGGTGACCAGAGCCCTGTGACATCAGTGCATGCACACAGCAGCCTGGAGAGCAAGAACATGCAGCTTGATGGGGTCTGCAGGGCCCAAGGGGCGGCCTGGAGGCAGAATGTCCAGAGAACATCCATAGGACAGAAACTTTCTGCAAGGGCTTCTAAGGAGGACAAACGAGCGCCCATGGAGGGTGCAGGTGGGAGGACAGGGCCTCAAAGTCTCCTTGGAATGCCTGCTGGCATGCCCACCCAGAGCCAGACCTAGGTCTCTGCAAACGTTGATAAACAAGGAGGCCTCAGGGTCCGAGTCGTCCACCAGGTAGCCGCCGCTCAGCCTGATGAGTGGATTCAGGTCATGTTTCCGTAACTCCCTGTCAAACACGTAGCAGGGGACCTGGAAGACAAGAGGGTGAGAGAGCCTTCAGCACGTATCTTCTGCCCACGGCTTCACTCCCACTGCGCGCTGGTCCTCAACCCTTGGGGCAGGCAGCACAAAGCACAATGGACACACGCCTCCACTCCACAACTCTCCAGCGTCCTGCTCACCTGCAGGGGCACTGCCTCCCTCTTGGCCCCCACCACCCTTGACACCCTCACCTGTAACATCTTCCCCTTACAAACACTCCCCACAGCACTCAGCCTGTACCTGCACCTCCAGCCAACCCCTGCTCCCCAGCCCCAACCCACGCCTCCACAGAAGCCGCCTGCCAGGTTGCCCACATCCTCCCTGCCACAAAGGTGACCCTCCCAGCGGGGGCCTCTTCTGCCTCAGGCCCCCAGGCTTCCGAGCTCCCGACCACTCCTGCCTCTGCAGGTCCTTGCTTCACCGGGTTGCCGGGGTATCCAGGGGGTCCTTCCTGGTCTTTGCCTGTCCAACGACTGCCACCCCATCCTCAGCCTCCTGGGACCGCCCCCAAAACTCCTCCCCTTGGGGACTCAGCTCTAAACAACTTGCCACGTGTTCCCAAAGGCCCAAAGGCATCTCAAAAAAATGTATGTGGAGATAGGATGAAAGGAAAATTTGTTCTGGTGAAAAAAAAAAGCTGCGACCAATGCACAGTTCCCCGAAAAGACATTTTGCAGGAACTTTTCAAAGCCCCATTAGTAGGCACGTTTACATTGTTTTTTTTAAAACTAAAAAAATAAATAAACGTTATCTTTTAATTCCATCTTGCGTAAGCTTTGCTGAAGTTCGCATGTGTGTCTCCAACTTCAACCTCTCACAGGTCCAGACTTGCAAAGACAACAGGAAGAAGCTGGGCTTCCAACTCTGCTGTGACACGCTTTGGCCACGGGCAAACTGAAACCCCATGCCTCAGTTTCCCCATGAGCCCAGAGGGAATAATGAAAGCAATCACTCCTAGGGGCTGCTGGAGCAAGGAGGGAACTGCAAGTAAAGCCCTGGGCACAGCCCCTGGCAAGGCAGCAGTGGGTATTAGTTTGCTGTTACTTTACATAGCTACTTCAAGGCATAGAAAGGCACCTGACCCTTGACATCTTTCAAGCAAGTGTTGGATTTCTCCCCTGAAGCTGCTCGGTCCCATTGCCCACCTCAGCATTAACACATGGCCCCCACTGCACGTTTCCCAGGCACTGCACCTTCTGCCCTGGCTCTTGCTCCCACTCCACCCCACCCCACAACTCCACAAGCACAGGGCAGAGGTTTAAAATGAAGCCAGGCAGCATCTCCCCACTCTAAATGCTTCCCCGGTCCACAGAGAAGGAAATCCTGGTGGCTGCCTGGCCTCCTGCGTCTTCCTCTCCTCTCCCTCCCCTCCCCCGAGTCTCCACAAGGCTGGCTCTCTGCCTGGCTCTGTTCACATCTGTCCCCTCTCCCGGCACAGATGCCGCTGTCTGTTGTCAGGTCCCCCTGCCGCATGCCAGCCCGCTGGAGTACCCGAACAGCAGCTCAGCATGGGGAGAGGAGCTCCTCCTTGGAGTCCCTGATGCAGCCCTACTCACTTCTCGTCTAGGACTACTGTCTCATCTCTAGGAGCTAATGGCTTTTTATTTCAAAAATGTCAAGGAGCCCATTACAGCTGGCAAGACCTCATGTTTCAAGAGTTCTGTCTGCTGAATGCAGAGCAAGCAGCCCAAGGACAAGCCCCCAGCAGCTGCTGCCCGCACCCTTCATCTCCAAACTAGTGTGCTGGCATCACTGTAATTGTTCCAACAATTCACGTCATTTCAAAGTAGCTCGTTTTATTACTTCCTCTGGACACATTCCCTAGAATTTTATCTTCAGACTGCGGTAGCAGTCACAAAAAGTTAACCGCTTCACGTGCTGCTTCACGTGCTGCTTTCAAGTTTGTCGTAAGTGATGCTATCAGCCCAGCAGGAATGCTCTAGCCCAGTAACCTTTCTCCCCAGCTCCGGCTGCAGAGACCCCGTGGAGAGCTACACAGTCGCCACTCCCTGAGCCCTGCAGCAACAAAGGCGCCTGGGGCTGGGCAGGCAAGCTTCTTCTAAGGATTCTGCAGATAACACAGCAAGCCTGGGCCACTCACCACTCAGGCTCTGGGGGCTCTGGCACACAAGGCTGAGAGCTAATGCCACAACACCCACACGCCAGCAATGGAAGGAGGTCCTGCAGGTGAGCTGAGTTGGGAAGTGAGGAGCATAGGCACCCCTGATCCTGCACACTGAGCCTACAATCCATCCCATGGTGAGATCACACAAAAACCTGGGGCTGCTAGGGCTCCAGGGAATTGGTCAGGATGGGAGACAAGTCCTTACCTGGCACCCTGAGAACCAGGGACAGAAAGGGGGTACCAGCTGCCACAGGGGGAGCTGGGCTCAGAGGCCAGCCCATTTCTCATAGCCCCTGGAAGAGTTCGTGCTGGTGAGACCCCCACTGGGACCCTGCTCAGGACAACTGGCAACCTTGAAACCCTCAAGGCTGTCTTCGGGCCAGAGAAGAGGAGACACACCCAGCACAGAGCTCCCCAGAACTGGAGTGCACGTCGGAAAAACAGGCAAGGCCACTGGGACGCCCTCCCTCCCTCCCTCCCGCCTGCTTCCCGCTCCAGCGAGCAGAGCAAGGGAGACATTCATAAGACCAGGAATTTCGCAGCCCGGGGAAGAGGGCTGCCTGCCAGCTTCAACACACCGCACATTGAGTTATGTGCTCCGTGTTTTTGTATGTCCATTAATCTTACTTATGTAACTCCACAAGGAGCGCCAGCACGCCAGTTCTGCATTTTATATGTTCCCGAGGACGCCAGGAAGGGGCTTGGACATACAGAACATTTTAAAGAAATCACTGTCTTGAAAACCTCCGCCAAGATCCGCTGAACAAGCAGAACAGGGTGGCTTCGAAAAAACGCCTGGCCTGGAGCTACCATGATCCTTTGCCTGTCCAGCTTTTCTTCTCAATTCAGCCACGTCAACGTGGCATGGAAATTGAGAACCTAAACTGATGCTATACCAGATCGAGAGCTTTTCTGCTGTTTTTATTTTTAATGCTCAGAGGGTCTGATAGACACACAAAGCACTCAGTGTGTTTCTGAAGCTATCATGCCCCAGCACCCACAGATTCTACTAAAGTCAGAAGAACCTGTGTTTCATTAAGTTCTGCTCGGCTCATCAACCCACCCCCCACCCCCTAGCCTGCGGTGAACACAGGGTGACACACTGCCCTGAGGGCTCCCAGCAGGTGAGAACCACGACCCAACTGCCTGGAACCCCGACTGCTCGGCCCTCAATCGACTGGAGCAAGTGAAAACTGAATGGACAAAGCCCTAGCCGCCAGGCACGCAGAGCGAGACGATAATTGAGAACAAATTGCGAACATTTCTCATGTGCTCTCGGACCAGCTTCTAAGAAAAATTGCGTGTCATTGTTTTGAGAAAATACAGACGGTATCTCCCTACTCCCACCCCAGAGAACTACTTGGCACGGCCGACGGCACACTTTCTCGGTAAAACAGTTTAGGTTTTGTGGGTTACATGAGTCACTATCACACATTCTTCTTTGTGTGTGTGTGTTTTTACATAAAACTTTGCAAAAATCCAAAACCTGTTCTGAGCTCTGGGGCTGTACAAGAGGCCTGAGGCGGGATCTAGTGTGGACTTGGGCTTCCCCAAGTTTGTAGCCCGCAGAAAAAAAAAATCAGCCATTGCTTGATTCAGAAAGGCTGGTGGATTAAAAGGCACCACTTTTAATCCAGCAAAGGGAAATAAAAGGCGTCAAACGGGAGACCGTGGGCATGCCGTCGGGTGAGAGACCACAAGCCCACATGTGGGGCACAGACAGGCACAGAGTCAGACCGTTTCAGGCTGGGCCAATGATACCTGCCCCCAGTGCAGCTCAGTAACAGTAACAGTATGTCATGAACAATGTACTTCTTTTCCTTTTCTTTGTTTTATCGGAAAGGCAGAGGCACACACAGGAAGAGAGAGTACATCCACTGGTTCATGCCCGAATGCCTACAACGGCTGGAGCTGGTCACACTGAGAGCAGGGACACGCCTGAGCTCCCCAGGTGGGGGCCATCACGGCTGCCTTCCCAGGGCAAGCAGTGGCAGGGATCGGAGGCATGGCCAGGACTTGAACTGAGCACTGCAGGACAGCGGCTGGGCATCCCAAGTGGTGCCTGACAGCTGCACTGAACACTTGCTCCTGCTGATCAGACCTCAATGAAGCTTCAGTGTGACCCACCTGCTTAGAGAACGGCCCCAACTCTTTCCCTTTTCAGCTGTTTCCACAAAGCCCCTTTCCGGGAGAGAGCAGCAACATAGCTTTCCACAGCTCCCATTAGTCTTTTCCTTCTATGGATGGCCACATAGGAGACTCTGTTCCAGCTTATCATTTATCACTTTTTTAAAAAACATCTGGGGAAGGTATTTAGCCTCGAGGTTAAGATGGCCATTGAGATGTCCACGTCAGCCCCGGTGGCAACTCCTGGCTCCAACTCCCTGCTGCTCCAGCCCCGGAAAACAGCAGTGAGAGCCCACACGACCCACAGGGTCTGGACTGAGTCCCCAGCTCCCAGTTTCAGCTCCAACTCAACCCAGGCTCTTGCAGACATTTTGGTGGATGAATCAGTGGGCAGAAGATCTCTCTTTCTGTTTGTGTGTGTGTGTCTGTCTGTCTGTCTATCTGTCTGCAAGTCAGTTAAATACAAAGTAAATAAATAATAAGTAGACAGAGTTTCTGCCCATGTGGAATCAAGCCACCAGTGAAACTTACTGCTCACTACTCCCTTGGTAGCCCCATAGCCTGACAGTCTGCAATTCTTCAGAGTAGAAACTAAAGGAGGGAAGTGAGACCAACAATCATCTGAACAGGAAGGGGCCTGTAGGATCTGTACGGCGGGAGAAGCAGTGGCGGGTGAGCCGGGCTCTGCAGCCGACCCCAGGCAGCAGGGGCAGTGAGGGGCAGCTTGCTCAATCGCCAAGGTCCCTCCCACACCACTGTGCAGGCTGATCTTGACAATCAGGTAGCAAAGGGCATTTCAAGTGCTTCTGCATCACAAAGAACGCTGATGTTCCAATTAGCTGGGTTTGGTCACTCCACAGTGTGGAAGAGCACTCTGAGAAAGTTACTGGAAAACCAGAATTAATAGATGAGTTTACTTTGGTGCAAAATCTTTTTGGAACTCAGGCATGGCTTTTTTGGAACTATGTGTTTCCCATGGATTCTTGCAGACTCCCCACATATGTATTTCAAAACCTGATGTTGCACACAGTCAGCTGAGGGGGAAGGGGACTTGGCCAAGACACACTGTCCAAACAACAAAAGAGAAAGAGTGGAGGCAGCAGGAAGAGCCGTCCTGTCTCTGAGGGGAACTGGCCAAGAATGGCGTGGGAGGGGGCAAGAGCACCTGGCCTGCACTCACAGTGCATCCTGGGGTCAGCCCGGGGCCAAGGAGAGGGGCCTAACCATGGAGACAGGCAAAGGGGACGTAGCAGAGAAGTGCAACGCACGTGGCACAGCCAGGTCAGAAACAGGCAGCTGCCACGGGAACAGTGCAAACCAGAAGGTCAGTCCACCCTGCACCTCTGCTTCCATCAGGAACCGAAGCGGACTGGCCTTCTGTGGGTGAGCCGCTTTGTTTCCAATCTGGGCCACCGAATCACACCCTAGGATATTTCAGATGCCCTGACCCAAAAATAAGAGCCACCCAGAAGAGTCTCAACAAACCACATGGCAACTCTGCTCAAATGGAATCTGAAAACCAAAAGGGATTTTTCACCCCAAGAGGCTGGACCCGTATTTCAAATCTGAACAGCTGCTTGCACGTACTACAGGAAGACACAACCTGGGGCCTCCCCTTTACCTCCTTGAGGGCTTTAAACGTGGCTTTCTTGCAGGCTGCCGTGGTCTTCCACTCAAAGTAATGCACACACCCTGTGGCCGTTACGAATTCAGGAGATCCCTATTTATTAAAAAAAAAAAAAAGAAGAAGAAGAAGGAAAAAAGTCAGTATCCCACACATAGGTCACATAGTTTCTTTGTGAGAGCAAGAACGGGGACTGGAGGAACAGCCAGCAAGGACAGGCAGCTGGGACACAACTGTTTCCAAAGGGGTCACGGAGAGGTTCCCAAACCCCTAAGTTCTGAGACAAAGGCTTCATGACATCGTGCTGGAATTTTAGTGTAGCTGCTCCAGAACTGTCCCTCTGTGAGCAGTGAACTCATGGGAAGTAATGCGCAGAGCCGTTCCACTCTCAAGCTCCAAATGTTCTCCTCACCAAACGCCAGCAGATATCAAAGCCAGAAAACGTGACCTCACGCTTCCTGAGAGGGGCCCCGGGAGGAGCCCTGTCTGCATCTGGCCGGGCCCGGACGTCCCACAGACCCCCACCCTGGAGGGGCCTCCCGGCAGCCCGCGGCCAGGACTGACTCCAAACTGGCCAACCATAGCGCTCTCCTGGGGGACTCCCAGCACAGTACAGATTAACCTCTTGGCTCCCTCACGCAGATCGGGGGAAGGGGGCCTCTGCTTCTCACAGGGTGAGCTCAGAACTCATAAAGGAAATTGAAACAGCAATGAGCTCCTTCTGTGACACAGTCTGCCACGTTGCATGCCGCTCCCAAGCCCAACGTGCTGGCTTTTTGTTCACCATTTCGACAAAATGTTATGGGTTTGTTTAAAACTTGACTCTCACCTGGAGTATGCAAAAATCCACAAGGTTTTCATTTTACTACTTTGTGGTTTACAAATAAACAAGACTTCTTTTAAAATGTAAGGAACTATAGCAAGGCAAAGAATACTAGTTCTGCTGAAGGCATACTTGGGAACAAACCACTGCCCGACTAGCTTGTACATGTGGAGCAGACAGCAAAAGTTATCTCCTTGTCAAAGGGCAGCATCTGGGTCCACAACCAGGCTCCCTGAGCACCATGCTGCAGCCTAACGCTCCTTCTGGCTCACTTCCTCTCCTCCTCACATCGTACTCTAGGCTTGCAGGAGGTCAGGGACCCCCAGGTGTTCCCGATGCATGGGGATTCTGGTTCCTCCTCAGCCCCAGCTCTCTGGGATCCACTTCACACCCTGACATCCACAAGGCCCAGGTACCCCCTCAGCCCTCTGCAAGGCCAGGGTGGATTTGGAAGTGACGGAAGATCAGCCATGGATCCCATCTGCTCTGCGGGCTTCTCCTGAGCTGCTGTCCTCGGAGCTCACCTGTCTGTGGCTGCAGGGCTTTGCAACAGACGCAAGGTGCTGGGACACAGACAACAGGAGCCGTGGAGCTTAGTCTGTCCCAACTTTTCTAAACACTGGGCTTCTTACTCAAGAACATTTGTTAAGACTTTTATGCCAATTGCTCTTCCTAAAAGCTAGAAAATGTTTACTACAACTTCCTTTTTAAAACACTAAACATTAAAGCAAACCAGTTTCACAACATATCCAGATAAGAACAAATTCCTCGCTTTACACATAAGATGCTCCTTTTAACCCAAAACAGTTGGAAACCCTATTACCCACGGGCCAGGGATTTCTGACTCCCTGAACAGACGCTGGTCTCTCCAACTTAATGTAAAGGAAGAGGGAAAAAATCGCTTTTGCAGCACATTCTTCCAAACCCCTTCCAAATGAGATGCTGGGAGGAGAGGTTTTAGAAGGAAAAAATGCATCATGCCTGTGACATAAACATCCCACAATACTTTGCATTTCACATACTGATTAATTACCAAATCGTATGCTCACACAGGATGCGGTTCAAGTTTCACTGAAAAGCTGCAATTTTGTATGTGGATTTTGCTCTTCTACGGGTTCTGGGCGGTGAACGTAAATTGTTACTTCATTCTGCCCACTTTTCTTCTTTGTGGACTACCTGGACAGCGGGACCAAACCAGGGACAACCACTTTTGACATAAGACATTCCAAAAGCGCCTGGGGACTCACCAGGGTCTTCCCACAGCGGAAGGAGAAGCTGCTCTGGACGCGGTGGCCTCGGCTCGGGGGCCCGCAGCTCACCGTGGTGTTGAACTCCAGCAGGGACTTGCTCGCACTGCGCAGGACGAAGTCGCCTGTGTGGAGAAGAGCTCCAGGTGACACACCGCAAAGACACAACCAGGGGTCGGCGAATGTACTAGAGCATAATGATCTCAAACCGCAGGAACAGCACCTCCACGCACCTCACCAGCTGCTCACGCACTCACACACAAGCCCTGGTCCCTCAGCTAACACAGGCGAACACATCAGAAGTGCTACTGCTCGTGCCTCCATTTCAAACTCGTTCACATTTCTCTACCCTTCTTAGCACTCTACCCTCCCGACGAGACACTCAGGCTTCCCTCCGCCTCCTCCCCCCATTCCTCAACGCTTCCCACCAAGTACACCACAAAACACAGATCAGCTCATTAGTATGGCAATACTGATGCCTAACGTCTCATTAGTACAAAAGTACAAAATTAGGGTTTTACACAAAATCAATGGCAGAGACTGGTATAAACTATCTAAAACAGAAAGCAGCGGTTCAGAAGGGAAAGCACTGAGGCACGTGGATGGGGGACTTGAAGAAGTTCGGGAAAATGAAAACAAAAGGCAGCATGCATTTTTCCCATGAACTACCTCTTAAGACTTTTCAAGCGCATGAAATGTTTGATTAGATCACAATGTCAGATCAGTGGAGAAAAAACTGTTGCAGAAATTAAACTGGAAAGGAAACCCAGTTATTTCTAAGAAAACATAAAATTGCAATCCTACCTACCACGGTATACAAAACCCACTGCAGTGACAAATGCTGAAGCACGCGCATTAAGCTGCCACCTGCGACGCCTGTCTCCCGTATCCGAGTGCCTCCCACGGCTCCCGTGCAAGCCCTGGCCACTGGACTTCTGACCCAACTCCTTGTTCATGTGTTGGAGAGACAGTACACGTTGACTTAAGTGGCCTCTGCCATCGTCAGGAGACTCCTGTAGACGAGTCTGGCTGTGGCCTGGCCCAGCAGCTGCTGCAGCCATTTTGTATGAAATGCAGCCATTTTGTAGATGAAAGATATCCCGCTCTAACTCTCTCCTCTCTGTCTCCTGGCCTTTCAAATAAATAATCAACGATAACTGGATTACAGGCATGAACATTAAAACCAAACTGGCAAACGTGGTAGGTAGAAAACATCTCTTCGAGCCTAGCCTAAGAAAAGAGAGTTCCTAAGACTCACCAACATGGGACACAGTGACAGAGTGCCTGCCGGTGAGCAGTGCCTGGCCCCAGCACCCGGAGAAGCTGGAAGAGCTGGACTCCAGCTAGCGACACAGTCCCTGGCCCCCAGCTCCAGCCCAGCACCCGGAGAAGCTGGAGGAGCCGGACTCCAGCTACCGACACAGTGCCTGGCCCCCAGCTCCAGCCCAGCTGGAAGGGGAGCTAAGGAAATGACCCAGCAGACACGAGGTCCCAACCTCTCTCTACATCTTTCTCTTTCTTTGACTCTCAAATTTAAAAAAAAAAAAAAAAACTACAAAATATTGACAAAATTGATCTTGCCAGCTTAAAAAGGTTTATATTTATCAAAAACTAGTTTAAACAAAAAAGTTATAAAGTAGAAGATAAACAGAACTTGGAAAGAATCATCACCAGAAGCTCTCCAGTCACAAACAAATAAGGACAATCTTTCCTGTAACGCCAGGAAATAACAAATACTCAAAAGACACACAACATGCCACAGAGGAGAGAGAAGGAAAGCCTCACACCATGGGCCCAGCTCAGTGGCTCAACGCTCCCCTGCAAGTGCCAGGATCCAACATGGGCACCAGTTCATGTCCTGGCTGCTCCACTTCCCATCCAGCTCCCACCTTGTGGCCTGGGAAAGCAGTAAAAGATGGCCCAGAGTCTTGGGACCCTGTACTTGCATGGGAGACCAGGAAAAAGTTCCTGGCTCCAAGCTTCAGCTCCGACCATTGTGGCCACCTGGGGACAAAACTAGCCAATAGAAGGTCTTTGTCTCTTCTACCCACAAATCTGATCTGCCTTTTCAATAAAAATTAATTTTAAAAAGGTTATTTTTAAAAACCCATATCTGATCACTTAAGTTGCGTTTTCATATGAAAGATAAAGAAGAAATTCTGAGATGGAGGGAGGGAACAGAAAGCGAGACGAGGAGGAAAAAAAGGAGAAAAGACAAGAGAGGGAAAGAGAGATACTGATGGGGACAACAGGTCACATCCAACAGATAACCTAACATGAGACTGGACAAGGCCCTACATGAACACACATGTGAAGAGCCATTCCCCATCGCAGGAGCTCCAAGCTCACGGTGGCATTTCCCCCGACAGCCACTCACTGGCAAAGACTAGCAGTGTGTGCTCAAGGTGAGAAGGGCCAGAACACGCCTGTGCTGCTGGCCCAAGAGCATGCTGGACTGGCCGCTATTTCAGTCACCATGACGCTGTGTCCTGGAATCTGGCACCCCTGTCCCTATGACCTAGTTATTCCACTCTCAGGAATGTGTACAAGGGACACGGGGTACATCCTCCATCTATAACTGGAAACATGGGGAGGACTCTCTCGGGTGTTCCGCACAACGGCACCAGTCTGGCTCGCCAACAGAGCAGCGGGCAGGTCACGGGAGCATAAATCACAGCAGACAAAAGCAGCTGGTTTTCAGTAGTTTGATGCCATCTTAACACGTGGGAGCTAGAAAGTGAGAAACAAAATGTGTGCCTTGCAAATGACAGACACAGTTTTCCTGAAATTAGAGCCAGCAATCTGAACCACAACACACAGGGGCTCATGTTTAATTCCAGCGGACACAGCGAGAATGATTGAGGAAATAGACAAGGTGCTATTGACGACAGAATTCACTGCATCAAGTAAGGACAGAAGCGGCGGGAAGGAAGGAACGAGTAAACGAATCAGTCCTCAGGAATCCAGAAGGAACCTGGTCATATTACACACACATACACACACACACCTGAGGTCCGGGTGCAGGTCAGGCTGATGGTACCACGGTTCTTCCTCCGCGCGCCCGCAAAAGTCTGCCGGAATCATCCTTTTTCCGGCCAAGAAACGGAGGGTCTTTTCCAACTTCTCACTCACCCGGCTCGGCCAAAAATCGCACTATTTATCCGCTCTGCCCATCTGCCCACCCGCAGCCCCGCCCGCAGCTCCGCCCACAACCCTGCCCACAGCTCCGCCCGCAGCTCCGCCCACCGGCCCACCTGCAGCCCCGCCCACAGCTCCACCCACAGCTCCTCCCATAGCTCCACCCACAACCCTGCCCATAGCTCCGCCCGCAGCTGCACCCACAGTTCCACCTGCAGCCCCGCCCACAGCTCCGCCCGAAGCTCCACCCACAATTCCACCTGCAGCCCCGCCCACAGCTCTACCCACAGCTCCGCCCGCAGTTCCAGGACCCAGGACAGCTCACGCGGCTCCGCCCACGGTAGGCGTGTCGGGGGGTGTGGTCTGGGGCAGACATGGTGCTCCAGGACCCGGGACAGTTCCTCTAGGCCCCACCCACCGTGGGCGTGCCGGGGCGTGGCCTGGGGGTCCCGGCGCTCCAGGATCTGGTCCTCCCGGATCAGGTCTGCAGCCTGACCGAGGATAGCTCTTCCAGGCCCGGCCCGCCACGGACGTGTCGGCGCCTCCGGAGGGCCGAGGAGGGGAGCCCCTTTCAGCCCCGAGACCCGGAAGGGCTGAGGGCTCAGTATCCGAGGGTCCGCAGGACTCCAGTGGAAGGCACTCGGAGGCTGTACTCGCTCTCGGCATTCCGCATTCCCTCGGCCGCTTCCTGCGCCTCCTCGGCCTGCCGCGGCCGCGGACTGCCGGGCTCCGGCGGACTGCCGGGCTGCCGCGGACTTGGGCGGACTGCCGGGCTGCCGGACTCGGGCGGACTGCCGGACTCGGGCGGACTGCCGGACTCGGGCGGACTGCCGCGGACTCGGGCGGACTCGGGAGGATTGCTGGACTGCCGGCCTGAGGCGGGCTGAGGTGGACTGGGGCTGCCGCGGACTCAGGCGAGCTGCCGGGCTGCAGTGGACTAGGGCGGCCTGCCGGACTCGGGTGGACTCGGGTGGACTCGGGCGGACTGCCGGGCTCGGGCGGACTGCCGCGGACTGCTGGACTGCCGGACTCGGGCGGATTGCCGGACTCGGGCGGACTGCCGGACTGCCGGGCTCGGGCGGACTCGGGCGGACTGCCGGACTGCCGGCCTGAGGCGGGCTGAGGTGGACTGGGGCTGCCGCGGACTCAGATGAGCTGCCGGGCTGCAGTGGACTTGGGCGGCCTGCCGGACTCGGGTGGACTCGGGCAGATTGCCGGAACCGGGCGGATTCCCGGACTGCCAGACTCGGGCAGACTGCTGGACTGGGATGGACTAGGCGGACTCGGGAGGGTTGCCGGACAGCCAGACTCAGGCGGGCTAAGGTGGACTGGGGCTGCCGCGGACTCGGGTGGCCTGCCGGGCTGCCGCGGACTGCCGGGCTGCCGGACTGCCGGGCTGCCGGACTGCCGGGCGGCGGCGGACTCGGGCGGACTCGAGCGGACCCGGGCGGACTGCCGGACTGCCGGACTGCCGGACTCGGGCGGACTGCCGGGGGGCTTCTCCCGCAGCGGCCAGGGCGGCTGCGCGGCAAGCGCTTCCGGCCGGGAGGCGGGCCCTGGCTGCCAGCACGGGCACCACTGGGCAGGTCCGCCAGAGGGCGCACGGGGCCGGCAGTGCGCCATGCCCGCCGGCCGGGTTCGGCCGAGCTCGCCAGGCTCGCCAGGCCGGGCCCGCTGGGACCGCCCACCGGCGGGTTCGGCTGGGCTCGCCCGTTGAACTCACCGGGCTCGGCTGAGCTCGCCAATCCAGGTTCGCTGGAACCGCCCGTCCGAACATTGGACCACTGACTATGTACTCCAGACCCCACGGCCGACCTGGCTTGTGCTTGCTGGGACCACCAAGCCCCACCACTCGCTCCTCGGTGTGTGCCAGGCCGCACAAGAGGAGTCAACAGGAGTCACTCTCCTAGGATCACCGGGCCAGCCAGCCAGCCACGCCGCCACACGCTGCAGACCCCAGCGGTGGGATCTCGGCTGACCACACCTG